TGATAAATAAAGTAAAATTTTTCTTGTAAATCAGACCAAAAATTCAAATGGACTATGAACTATGCTTAGTCTTTTGTTTATATTCTTCATCAGCCTAAATTTCTGCATCAATTTATTTGTATTTATTGGTTTGTCTGTCGAACATCTTTTATTAAAACGCTCACGTTAAGCGTTAAAAGTGAAAATGAAGCTAGAAAGTGAAGATTTATCGTATGTAGCTGCAATTGTTAGCATGATTCGATCGCTGACGGGCTTCATATTAGGTAAAAACATTTCACCAGAATTTTTTGAATTGAAAATGAAAAATTGGTAACTGAATGAAGACATTCAGAGTTCATTTTCTTACTTTCCGCGTTTTGTGAAAGTAATTGTACTCCTCTTAGTGTTGTAATATTCATTGGAAAAAACATATAAGTCATGGCAAGCGGAAAAACATTTTGATTTTTCAGTGCTCTAGCGTACAAGGAGGAAAATAAAATGCGTTTCTGGTTTGTGATAATCTTCCTTGCAAAACTTTGTTACTCCGTGTTATTAATATTAAGCGCGTAGCAAGTATCTACTTTGACTGAAGCGACATTAAATAAAGTATTGTTCATCTGACAACTCTCTTTACATACGCGATAGGGATGCAATTACAATTTATGTTTACTTTTATTTTTTATTTATTTTTATTATACCTGTCTGTTCTTCACATTTTGCTTTTTTCTCTTTTAACTCATTTCAGTAAAATGTTTATCAATTATTATCAAGTGTGGAGATAACAATGCTATCTGGTTCAAGATTATTTGAAGGTTTGCAAAAGTACAGAAGTTTGTTCGCTGATATGTAATCAAAGTGTCGTTTTTCATTTTTAATGTTAAATATATCGCGTTGCAATGCTAATTAAGTTAAATATTCAGGTTCTCATTTCACCTTCCTTTTTATTTATTTTATTTTTTTTTTTTAGGCTAAAAAGCTGCTGATATATGCATGAGAACCGAAAATGTATGCAAGTAGGTAAATGAATAATTTTAGAAATATATTTTGCAGAAACTTTTTCGAAAAATGATCTAAAAATGTTTAAATCAAAATAAGGAATTTTTCAAAGAAAATTTAAAAAACACTTTTTAACTTAAATATGAAATTTTTTATGTTGAATTTTCCCGCGGGCGATGTAAATGAAAAAAAAAAAAAAATGGAATTAAGGATTATTAGGTTTTCTACGGCCGCATAAAATACCTTATGGGAAGTACGATATCTTTATTATACCAAATTTCACTTTTAGTATAAATGTCATAAAGAGTAATCAGCACTTTCCTTACGTACCCTTTTTTGTCTTCTAGAAGGTATTCTTCTAAGATAAGAAAATACTTATTACTTTTAGGTTATGATTTAAAGATTAATGCAATCACACACACATTTTTTTTAGGAGGAAATTGATTGCATTGAAGTAATAAGATATAACTGTGTGAATGCCTTGCTGAGTATCGCATGCACAATGCCATGATGGACGTACTATTCCGCAAGGTGTAATAAAAACTCGAATGCAGAGGTTTTCAGAAAATGTCGAGATACGACTGTCACCTAGTGATTCATTACTTATAGCCTTTGTGTGTACTTTGCCTATTATTCTTGCGCTACATTCTGTCGATTTTTTCACTTTCATTAGGTTTCTTATTCACTCTTACGATCAATATTCAATGTCCATATACACGTAGGTTTTTATTTACCCGAATACTGATTCACTTATAAATGTCTCTCGACTAAATATCTTTCACTTTTCTTTGTTAATGTTTGTTCAAATTGTTATTTTTCTTTTTTTTTTAATTTTCTTAATTAATTTTTTGTTTTCATCTCTTGCCAATGTACAACAATGAAAAAAATATATGTTGATAGTAGTTGTTTACTTTATTTTCAAATAATCCCAGATCCGAGAATCTTCTGCGAGGTTTTTCTCTTTTACTTTTCTTTGGTTTTTCACTAAATATCTTTTCCATATATTTTTATATAAATAATTTTAATAATGACGATCTCGCTTCATAGGTTGTTTACAAGTGCATATGAATTGTCGTACTGATCATAATAAAGCAGAGAAATGAAAAAAAAAAAATAAATAAAAATAAAAAAAACTATTAATTTGTGTTTAGAATCGTTACGTACTGTTATTTTTCACTTCTGTCTGCACTAATACCTGTAGCTGTTTTTGTATCCGCGCAATCTTGGAGATATACTCGTTATATCATTCCCTGCATAACTCTCGACATGGCAGTCGATACACTCGATTTGTGTCTATGTCTGTTAATCGTCGTCCGTCTAAAACTAAAACTACACCAACAAGTACAGTTCAGGACATCTGAAAAAAGTGCAAGCAATTCCCTTTCACCAGATATATATTCAAACATTGATATAAAAAACTTTACCGGATATTAGATATTTACTTAGTGTAGGGGAAATATAAGACTTACCTAATCGCGAATACGATTTTTTTAGCTCGTTTTGCTTTTGTTTTTCAACAAGTACAAGAGAGAATGAAGAGAGAACCTCTAATCACCCGTACCTGATAGTGTCTATTAACAAAATAAGAAAAAAACTTGAATTTTTTTTAATTGTGTGCACAATTTGAAAAATTTGTTTTAAAACTGCTTAATATACAATAAAAATTGCCATTGTTTTATATGCTCTTTCCGATACCCCTACAATCGCAATTGTTTACTAAAAGTACTTAAAAGATTTGTTTTAGAGCGCGCCCAATTCTTTTTACACGAATATTTTTACACAAAATTTAATTTAACATGAGCTAAAGAGAAAAAATTTTCTTTTTACAGGAAATTTAATTTAACACGAGTTAAAAAGCAAAAAATTCTCTTTTTACACGAAATTTTTTGTTTCAACACGACTCTCAATATTTTACGCAATTTTTTTTATGAATTTTTTTAATGAATTTTCCTTTTTGATGTTTCTATGAATTTTTTCGTTCTCACTGCTCACAAATATGCATTCGCTTAACTTTGCACTAAAGTTTTCAGCAATTCACTTACTTTAGATCGATTATATGCGTATATACGTGGGACTGCCCGACTTATGTATAGAGTAAAGCCGTGATATATTTTTTACGCAGTCTAATTTGATTTTTCAAAAATATAATTTATAAAAAATATAATTTATAATATATTTAATGAATTAAAATGTGTACGCATGAAATAAGTTCTTAAGTAACTCAATTTAACAAGAATTTTTTTAATATTGTTTGTGTTTTGCATTTTTCAATTTAGCCAATATCTTTTTTTATACGATTTTTTTTACACGAATTTTTTGGGAACATATCTATCGTGTATATGTATATTCTTGGTAAATTTAAATAGCGCCACCGATCCAATCAGTTTGTATCTTTTCCTAAAATCGCAATTTCCAAACTTCAAGCTTATTCTTCGGTTTTCCCTTTCACTTTGTTAAAATTGATATATTTATATATATATATATATATATTTGTATGTATTTGTTTAGAATTTTGTTAGCAAAAATTTAATCATTACATCTTTAGCAGTCGATTATTTCAATATATGCTGTGTAACATTCTCTTTGCTGTGTTACTATTGTGATGGGAAAAATGAATTAATGTGGTGATGGCTCCTGCACTTGCAGTTCGTAGCTGTTCATAACCGAAAGAAGATAAATATTATCTATAATTACAGAGCATTTAATAAATATTTCAGTGTTGTGTTCCTTTACCACAGAGCGGGAGAGAGAGAGAGAGAAGAGAAGAGAAAGAGACAATGAGCGAATTGTCTCCTAATTTCTCAAAACATTTCTTTCTCGTTCACATATCATTTATATGAGTTCGCATCAAGTACGCTTAATAAAATACTTTTATCTTAAGTACATATATATGCGTAGTTCTGATCGAACACAATCATGTTATTTTATACACATATAATAAACTTTGTATAGAAACCTTTTTAGCAAGTGATATTGTAAAGAAGGGCGTGTACAATCGGAATTATTTTCAATTGAGTTTTAACATGGCTCTGAATAAAATTTTAAGCTCAGTTCTATATATGTCATAGACTGCAGGCTGATTTCACAACTTTTCGGACGCGGATATATACGAAAAATCAGACAGCGAGACTTACCACACTAAGAACCTCACATTCACCGTACAAGTGTACATCTTTCCTTTTGGATGTTTCAATCCAATAACAAATCTAAACAACTCTTTCTTCAATGATGACTGTGGCTGTGTTATGAAAACTGCATCAAGGTGATATGTGCTTGTATATGAGACAAGCAAGTTTCCATATCTGCCCAATATAATAACTGGTTTTTTTTTTTTTTTTTTGCACACCAAAGCAGTTTTCTTAGCGTCCTCTTTTGGTGATTATTAACAATGCGTTAACAACAGTCCAACTAAAAAGCTTCTTTGTAAACATGGATGTTAAGAGAAAAAAAAAGCTTTTCCTTATTGTTTGCTAATTGAAAAGTTCGCGGAATGGGAATGAATGCAACTTTTTTTATCTTTTTAGCTTTTCATGAATTTTTTTTCTTAAGCAAGTATTTAAAAAACCAAATTATTCAATAAATAGCGTCAGCAAAAATACTTTTAAACTACATTGCTAATTAATTTCGTGAAATTCGATATTGTTTGTCATAAATAGAACATAAACTGTTTTCCTTGTAAAAGATTTCGAATTGTGTGCATAGATATCTCTTCCCCTCTTTTAAATTGACTAAATTTTTGTATAAATTAGTTTAATTATCGCTGACGTACTCTGCATAGTTTAAGTAGCGATGGAAAGCCAAAAAGCAAAATGCCTTAGCATCTAATTGTCGGATAAATTGCAATTAAATATGATTTAAAAAATCTTTACAAGTAAAAGATTTATTTAGCAATTTTTTTTTTTTTTTTGAAATTTTACAATTATATTTTATTGTTATTATATTCGTGTTTACCTGGAAAGTGAATTTCAACCCATAAACAAAGCACAAGTTTTTGTATCTGACTTTGTTTAAGCTATAATTTTGATATTTGCGTGTAAAGAATGATACCCCGTATGCGTCAGAGGTGCCCTACCAAAACACGTATGTTCTTGAACAAATATAACAAATAAACAGTCCTATATGACAAATTAATTTCAAATCGAAGTACGTTCAAATCGTTCGATATGGGAGTATAAAAGTTGATGGGCGAGAAAAGCTTTTTCAGTTTCCCTGACTAAATAATTCATTTCAAAACTCATTCAAGTTATTTGCAAGTTTGGTTTCAATTTGAAGTCTAACCCTTTAGATATCGACTCATTAAAGTTTCCTATACAAGCATTTTTCCTGTAGCTGATTACGGGTACGTGGTACTCTTTTAAATCGTCTGCTATAATTTCGAAATAGTTATGTCACGTACGCAGTATGTTGATTATCCCATCTAATCCATTTGTTAGAGTAGAGAACACAGACCCATTTTTTTTGAATTTTAATAAAAAGCAAAATATAAATTTTTTTTTTTTTTATCCACCTGAGTGGGCGAGTAGGCAAGAGTCTCGACTAACAACTCAATGGTCTTGGATTCAAATCTCAAGTGTGGCAGAGTTTTTAATAAAAGCCGAAAGCCTTAGATGCTAGTGCTTTAAGACTTTAGTCTCAGAATTTATTCTCTGACTAAATTTATAATAATAATAATAATAATAAAATTTTTTAAAATAATCTTTGCTTTTATACCCTTGTATTTATCTCCTAAGGCAAAAAGCGAAAAATTAAAGTTCAATACCCTTTAGCATTGCATGGAAATGGACCAATTCATACGAAGAACACGCCTACAGTACCACGTGAACTGAGAACACTTATGTGTTCCAAAAGGAATAAAAAAATTGTTTTTGCAAACTTGAAAGCAAATGTATTCACAGTTTTTGTTGCATAGTTATATGGGCATTAAAGGCGTGTCATTTCACCAGTTTAAGTCATTTTGAAATTCTTTCGCAAAGTTAAAGAGACGAACAGACGGTTATGTTTAAATGCGTTTCAAATTTGAGACTGGCCAAGAATTTGAACGCTTCGCGGGGTCCTTGGACCGTAATTCTGTGTGTTTTAAAGGTATTGAGAAAAAAATTAAATTTTGATAGATTATAATATTGGGTAGGCATGGTCAACTCCTCCCGTTTTTGTGCAAGTACCACAGCCTAGTCTATGCAATATACGATCAATTTTTTTGTAGATTCATCTGTCATAGTTTATAATTAGTGAGCAAGAAGCCAATTTTTTATTCCTTTTGAAAATCAGAGGTGTTGTCAATTTACGCGTAGGCGTGTTGAGGATGTTAAGGGCATTTTTGCGGCCAGTTGAACGTTCACAACAGACATTACACAGACGGACAGACGCACATTAGAAAATATAGATATTTTGGGGGATGCTTCTGGGCGTTCGCCCACTACTCGCTGATGAAAATAAGGAAAAGAACTCATTGATAATTAACAAAATACTTACCATTTTGATGATTGAGTTATAAGACACTGAAGAAGACAGGGCTTTATCGAATTGTTTCAACGTATAAAAGTAAGTAATTGGAACAATATACACCCTACATAGGCATGAACAAGATAATTCATTTTGTAACGCTCGCCTGCACGATGCCGTCTTATTTAAATCGTAACGACTCCTTCAGAGCATTGTCTACAAATAAAAAAGACGCTCAAGTTCTTTCAATTTTTTCCTCGAAAATTAATTATTTCAAGCTTATCTATGTATTTTCAATATTCACGATACTGCGACTTGAGCTTGAAGGTTACCCGGTTAACAACGTTTCTGAAATTTTGTCACGTATTGCATTTGAATACCTTTGTGAGCACACACAGGTAAATCTTCTATTGCTTAGCAGTTCACATCACTAATTTCTGTATATGTGTATGTATTCCCAGAACTTGTAGTATGCAATACTCTTCCACTCTAGCACGAACAGAAAATATCGAAAATCGAAAAATTATAAAATGATTTTGCTTTAGGCATTAAACGAGTGGTAGGCTTTCATCCTACGTGCATGTAGCTTTATGAGGAGCGTACTTCTATTTCAGGGTATATTTCCTTCTCTTTCACTTTGTTTATTTATTTTTGCTTGGTTTATCGTTGTTTCTTGCTGCCAGTTAATCTCATTTTAAAACGTTTATTGTAAGATATATATGTAAACGTCTATTAAGATTAGATTAGTTTAAAGTCGACTGATAGCGACTTCAACTCAGTTGTCTTATTATACCGTGCACCAATTAATACGTCATATATGGAGATATATGGTATATTAAGTTTGAGCGAATGTATGTACGCACCTTTCTATTCAATCCCCCCCACCCACTTTACCAATTCCCCAAGCCACCTTTCATACCAATCAATTTAAGCTTGTTCGTCCGTCCCCACGTCCGCATGTCGCGGTTCAAAGAAAAAACCTTCTGGAAAAGGTATGCGATGAACCTTTTTTACGCCTATTTCGCATTTAACGTCTCATTCCGAAAACATTGTTCTATGGAAAAATTTGCGTTTTTGAAAATATTTCTACAAATGTCGCTAATTAATAGTATTTTGACCTACGAAAATTATGTGAAAAATTTAGATCCAGTGGGCCAGTTTTTTTTAAACCCAGTACCCAGGACCCACAAAATATTTACTATGTAGTATTTTGTCTCTGAAACTGATGTATAATATTAATTTGACAGGAAAGTCGGCTGTGCTTGAATCATGTAGATCTACTTTTTAGACACCACCACACATAAGGATTCTCAGGAAAGGTAAGCTTTCACCCGCAAACAAGAAATAAGTTAATAAAGAATTATGTTAAACAAATAAATTTAGGGATGTTAATGGGCGGCCTAGTCCAACTATAGTGTTCTTACCTGTTTTCTTGATAAATAAACATATGGAATAAATAAACATAAATCTAAAAATAAACATAAATCTAAAAATAAACAAATGGAAATATTATTGTTTTCAGTTATTAATTTTAATTAATTATGACAAGTAGAAAAATTAGATCGGACTATGGTCGCATCTTACACACCCAACTCCTTGGTCGTAAAAAAAGAAATAAAGAAAATGAAAATTTCATTCAATTTTCTTATTTTTTTTTTGCCCGGGCATTCCCCCATCACCCGTAAAATATGCCAGGGAATTCTCATTGTTGCATCTGTGGTAGTTCACGACTAGTTCATGACAAAAAAAACCCAATGTGCAAAGTTATTAGCAATTTACGTTGCATTACAGACATGTCCTTTAACCGCTTTGGCGCATTTTCAACACCAACGCCCTACTGGGAGAATCTTTACCATAGACTTTGACACAAACAAGCGTGGCTAGGTGGACACAAAGTTTGCTACCGATCAATAATCTTCCCACTGGGTGTTACAAACATTCTGATAGAACGATAATACCTTTCCCCTTCGGTGGTGGATAAAAAAAAGTTATTATATGCTCAAACCATGAGCTTTACTTATTTGGTTATTATATTGAGAAAAATCCAATGGAAACTCCATAGGCTATTTGCGTAAGGTGTCCCCCCCCCCCCAAAAAAAAAAAAACACAAAATTTGAATTAAATGGAAATCAAAGTTTTTTTTCTTCAAATTGCAATTTTTTGATACATCAGGTAAAGTTATAGATGGAAAAGCACATATGGCCTCCGCGGCGCATACACACTCTCTCATGGTAATTTTCCATAACCATTTTGTATAAACGTGCCTGAATTTCATTGATGCTGCGTAGAATTTCCTGGCACTTGATTTCAAATAACCCTTTAAAAAGAAATCCTTTGATCAAATATCACATGATCTAGGTAGGAATCTAAATCCGATCATCAAAACAGGAGAAAACATGACCACGGAAAGTCTCGTGCATATATCGTTCCTATCAATATCATCCAATCTAGACAGAAATAAATAAATAGGTTACCTAGCACCAATAACAGTCTCATTTTCTATGGTCCAACGATGGCTTCAGCCCAAAATCCGCATCAAACAGTGACAGGTTGTGCATGTATTTGTTTTTCGGCACCCACATGTGATTTTTGCCAAGCCTAAACTGTCAGATGACAAATTTTTTTTTTTTTGTTTTTTTGAGTTGGCAGCACTTTCCCACATAAATGGCCTGAAATTCAAATCTTGCTTCAATTTTGAGATACCCTTTGGGTACACGTCTTTAACTCACACTTTTGCTCACTTGCTACTTCAACTTGTATAAATTGCAAATATTTGAATGGAAACCCCAGATTTTATTTAGATCGCTGGACATTCAAAGATCAGGCTTAAAAAAAAAAAAAAAAAATCATTTGTATAAACCAATATATATAAAACATGAAATTCATATGTAACAGTGATCTCCAGACAGTCCGTTAATACACCTGCTATGGAACAAAAATTCAATATTTACATAAACAATGAAATGTATCTGATTTCAAATAGTTTTGGGCGTTAGCGATGCCGGGTACCAAAAAATAACTTCAAAACAATTAAAATTTTCTTATTTTTTCAACGATTTCATATTTTCTATTGAACACCTTTTGCGCTCGCGCCAATGTGTGTAAAGCCGGGTAATTTAAAACCATCAGTTAACGATTTGTAAACATTTATGACATGAACTGTTTGCAATTGCTATGACGTGCCTGCGACTGTGCCTGTGCCTTTACCTGTGAGTGCGGTTTTCTCAAATTCATATATAATTTTTCAGGTTATTCGATACTAAAAACCGCAAAGGAAAATGCAAGCTATAAAAATAAAAGAATTTATTATTATATAATTTGTCATAATTTATATAGAATTTAATGGAAAGAAACTTTTTTTTTTTAATTCAAAAATAAAATTATTAAATAATCTAAAGAAAATTAACATTAAAATCAAATGCGATATATAACATTTTTCTCTCATTCTCACAATTATGCATAGGGGTAACAATCTGTCAAGTGTATAAGAATAATCATAGATAGCAGCGACCAATAGATATGATTTCAATTAAGAGAAAACTTTTTATGGAAAAATTTAATTTTAAAACAATACCAAAATCACCTAACCTACCTACGATTTGCGCGATAGAAAGAACTCCTTATTTGAAGCTATTGTACATTAGGCAAAGAAATGAAGAGACTAAAGAAAAGTTGTTAACAAAAAATAAAGATTTTCTACGCTTTTTACGATTTTCTTCTTCTTTTTTTTTCAAAAGCAAACAATTTCAAAAACCGAACTGTTTAGGAGAGCGTTTGTGAGAAGTTCACCACCTCATAGTGGACTCATTAAATAGATTTATTACCTTTATTCTCAATTAGTTTGCTATATGCTTTTTTTTAAGTAATTAGTGTACGCGAAAAGGTTTTAAGTTCACCACTTTACATATGCATTAAAATTTTAAATCTATTATTGTTTTAAAATATTTTCTTTAATTTTGCAAAAAACATAATATTTTTCTTTTTGAAAAATCGTACTCATTCGTATTATAAGCCAGCATTACAAATAAAGCTTGCTTAAGCAATTTACTCTTCTGTAGCATTTCTCAAAAATATTAAAATTCTTATGATTATATTCATCTATGTCGCTTTCCATCTCTCCCTCTCTCTCTCTCTCTCTCTCTATATTTTTTTTTAATTACTCTCACGTTGTGTATAATGTAGCAGAGTTGGAAAATGTAGTGCAATTGTACGTTTCTGATACTCTTTTCCTTTTTGTTACTAAGGCAGCTATAAACAAAACGTTTTACTTGCAAACCAGGATTTGAATAAAAAATTTTGCTGAATGCACTCATCAAAACCTTTCGGTTCTTGTGCATTTTACAACTGTATGCATGCTTACAACAACTATAACGATGAATAATCATGATATAACATTAGAAATAATTTAAAAAAATTAATTGAAATCTTCGAAGAAAAAGTACACACGAAACTTTTTTGTGCGATTATGCAGCCCCTATTCACCGCACAAAAAAGAACCTTTTAATTAGTTATCAAAAATAGTTTTCGCAATGGAAACGTGCAATCGCATAAAAAAAGATCGCACAGGAATAAGTTTGATTGTGAATGAAAAACAAACCTTCTATGCTGCAAAAAAAAGTACACCGTTGAAGTTTCTCATATACGACACAATGATCTTATTTGACTTCCCTTTCATAGACGTTAAACTTTTTTTTCTCTTTCTTACTCTCTTTCATCTTAATGATACTCTCTGCTATGCTTTGAAAATATTCTAGGCATTCGAGAGAGTGAAAATGAGAGTGAGAGCGAGTGCATATAGAAGAAATTCACCAAACATTAACTTTAACAAGACGCTCGAGTATAATTTATACATACATATTTAATTGGCTCGTATATAAACCTAAACTTGCTATTTGAGGGATCGTAGTCTGTTCAGTTACACTTAAAGGTTCAGCTGTGTAACAGGCTTCTAGGGCATATAAGGAAATTCGGTTTTTATAAAACGTTTTTTTTATTTGAAATTTGTGAAGTTTAAAAAAAAAAAAAAAAGTTTTGTTTTTTTTGTGCAATTTCGTGAAATATTTGAAAGGTAAGACCTAAAAGAAAAGTTATGAAAAGGTGATAACAATGCATCCCGACGAGATAAATGAGAATTAAGATTTCCTATATATATATTATATATATGTAAATATATTTTTTTTTAATTTTTTTTTTTTTTTTATGAATTTAAAAAGTGCTTCAAGTGATGTAATCTATACTTCAAAAGTGTTTAAAAGAATTGAAGGACACCTGTATATTTAATGCAAAAGTCTTGAAAAAATTGATCTAAATATTCCGATTTGTTAAGGTTTCACGCAAAGAAAGTTGTTTTTTTTTTTTTTGCGAAAAGAAAAAAACAATTAAATTTTTTGATATTCAATGAATTGAGTGCCAATTTTCTTGATTTTTCGCAATTAATGTCTTTAGCAAGCAGATACACGTGAACAAAAATAGATTTGCGATAATCACATATAGAGGTTTTCACCTCAATTATCTGGTTACAAAATTTTAGAATACTTCAACCAAAAGTTCTTCTCTTTTTGCGTATAACGATCAAAAAATTATTCTTTATATCTTAAGAGAACTAAAAAAAAAAAAAAAAATAATTGTGGTCAGATTAAGAGGTGTGAAAAACCTTTCAGATATTTAAAATCCATTTCGAATAGTTCACAAAATCTAAATTTATATGCAAGTCACCCTGACCTCATTTTTGTTTAGAAACAATTATTTTCGGTTCGCATTCGAAGATTAACTCTGACACAGCAGCGAAATCTTGATAAAGAAACTTTGAAGACAAGAAAGCTTCTTTGAGATCCAAAAAGAAACATGCTAAAGATAAAGGAAAGCTTAAATGATTTAAAATGCATTCTATTTAATAAATAAGTAACGTGTCAAGTACTCACAAAGTCGAGTTTTATCATTTCTTCGCACCTTTAATACATTCGCATAAATCTTCAGTTCCCTCTAAGCTTTTACTGTTGCTTTCTCTCCGTTTGACTTATTGGATATTCATGGATGTGCAAAATAAACCCATACACCATAGACATCACCAGCTGTCTGTCTAGTATCGTACGAACTGCTCAACAGTTGGCTCAAATGGCGAATCTTACTACGTTCGGATCTGACCCATTTTTAATTAGTTCAAAACTTATAATAAAGAGACGTTTTACAAATATTTCTACTAAATACTGGATCGGTACGAGAACTCATTTTCTATATTATTGATGTATGAGATGGGCAAACATCTGCATTTATTTGTTCGGATAGGCAAATTCGCAGACGGATATCTAGGTGGAAGGATGGACAGACGCGGTTAGGAATGTTATAAAGATTATTTGTTATAGGAACTGTTTATTGACTTTGCCATTAAACATCTTTTACAAGTTTTCCAAAGCCTGGACCTGAAGAACCATTCATTTCCCATATTATTGATAAATACTGTAGCGATACGCAGCTTCGCAAATATATCCATTTGCTTGATCGGATGAAAAAATTCACAGGCGAAGATCTAGGGGGAAGGATGGACAGACGCCGTCAAGAATGTTATAAAGATTATTTGTTATAGGAACTATTTATTGACTTTGCCTTTAAATGTCTTTTACAAATATTTGTACCAAAGACTGCGTTTGTTTACTTTACAGACAGATATTTAGGTGGACGGATGGACAGACGCGGTCTGGAATGTTGTAAAATATATTATTTATAAGAGCGATAGAATATTTATTATTACTACACTAGGTGAAAGCCTAAGTAATTTGTGCTTTGATGAGTTCCATCCAGCATAGGATAGAGTTCCCTTTCCTTTTACCGTCTTTGAGGTTATTTACGGACATGATAACCTCAAAGATATTTAATTAGGGAACAGTACATGTGTAAATGACAATTACGAATTATTCAAATTTTTTCTTGTTCAATTACTTAGATTAATACAAATTTATGATCATAATAAACGTTCCGATAAACGAAGAATCTAAAGTATTATAAGAAAATTGGAAAAAAAGTTCCAAGACTAGCAGTTCGCAACTAGCGAACCAAACCGAACTGAAGGTATGAGTAAAGATTTCTTTCTACTTTCAAAAACTGTAAGATAACGCTTGCGAAGAATTTGACATCAGCTGGAATTGAATTGCATATCTCCACTCTGGGCTTTAAAATAACGCAGTATATGCCGCGAAGAAATCGATTAGGTAAAGGCAAAGTTCAACCAGAAGTATTTAAAGTGATAAAGTTTCCCGCTGCCTCTCTCTTTAAAGCGTTTCTGGTTACAGTGCTGACAATGTCCCCGCTGTTTGAATTCCAATCGCAGTTGTTTTGAAATCTTCTTAAACGTCAGTTTTTTTGACTTCATTAAGTAAAAGACGATTCGTAAAATCGTAATAAAACTCTTGTTTCATATCTAATTGAACTTGAACTTGAACTTTCATAATTTAATTCAATATCCAAACTACGTCCCTTAATATGCTCTACATCTTTAAAAAAAAAAGAAAGAAAAAAATCGTAAGCCTATCGACGTATGTGGAAACGTGGGATTCCATAAACCACTTGAGGACGTTAATTTAATTTACAATCATTGCTTACGTCACTCGGTTATTTGCCCGAAGCAACGCTTTGAGCAATCTTGGGCCATTAAAAGTAATGACTAGCGCTGTTGAGTGCACCCTAAATAATTCCTTGTCCTTCATTCTTTCATTAGTTTTTCTAAAAACTCCTTTTACGCGAAAGGTGGATGTAATTTTTATTGATGCATGCTACACGAACTTAATTTCTCAAGAAATGACCAACGTTTTGCAAATCGTACGGAATGCACATAACTTAAACCAAAGTGCCTTAGGGTTTGTTTTTTTTTTCGCTTTGGGGTTTCGTTCCATGAAACGTTTCTTGCACCCAACAGTATGAACTTCAACTTTTTTCACTCGATATATATTACTGATCGGCCATAACTGTGTGTATTCAAAATACCCTGCTGAATTTGAAATGTTAAAAAAATTAAAAAAAAAAAAAAAAAAAAAAAAAAAAAAAAAAACAAGAACAACAGCAACAAATAAAATAAATTCAACAACAATACGCAACAATCACCGATAAATTGCTTTATAAAAAACAATTTTAATTGAATTTTATTAAAAATAAAGAACTTAGGCCAGAAAGAGATACAAAACTAAATTTAAATTTTCTCACACATAAAGAAAGCAAAGAAAAATTCAAAAAACCAAAAAAAAAAAAAAATAGAAAAAAAAAAAAGTCCAAAACGTGCAAGAGAAACGGATGTAATTTGCAATTTGAAACTTCAATTGAAATAAAAGATAAAAGACATAAAAAAAGAACAACAATCGATTAAATCGATTTGACTGAGTGGGCACTCATCCAACAGAAACAAAAAAAAAAAAAAAGAAAGAAAGAAAAAAAAATGCAACAAGATAAAGAAAGTAAATGAAAACCGTAATAATATGGAATGATTCATAATCCGGAGCAAGATAAACGTAAAAGAAAAGAAATATGTTGAGCGAAAGGAATTCAAAGCTTAGTCAGCATAACTGAAAAACGAACCCTTTTTTGGTCGATTTCTTTACGTTTATGCAGTTTCTCCACAACGCTTAACAAGTTTTTTTTTTTGTATATTTTTTTATTTTTTTTTTTTTATTTACTTCACAAAACCGGCCGGTCTTAAGATTTTGTTCCCTTCTATTCTCACAATTTCAAAATTGAGTTGAATGTTTAGTTTTACATTCGGTTTGTAACTTTGGTTTATCTATAAACAACCATCACCGCGATCATCGCTAATGCTTTTCTCTTTTAAAGTTTTAAAGCCTTTCCAGTTAGAAGCAAGCGACGCCACATTTAAGCGATTCGCTTAAACCCAAAAAAAAAGCTATCTGTTCTCTTCTTCTTTACGGAATGTACTTCTAAGAATTTAAACCAATATTTAAGACAAGAAGAAAGCCATAAGAAAATTACAAAAGTAAAAAAGTTATGCTCGATTTAGAAAAAATTTTAGTTAAATTTTAATTAACCGTCATCAAGTTGCTATTCAGACCATAATGGATCGAAGCAGTTTTTATATATCACGTCATTAGATGGTCATAATAGATCATCTGCAATTTCAACATTTGTTTTGGATGCTATGCCAAGCAACAATATTTTATTCGCGGACGGATCAAAGACCTTTTTAAATTCGCAAATTTCTACCTGGATCGAAGATATTTAGCAACAGACTGCGGTCAGTTTAGACGCAGATGCATTTATTAATTGAAAATTGAACAAATTGCTTTGAATTTCTGCTGCACAACGGAGCGACTGAACTCCTTGTAAAATATTCCCTACCACTGCTGCTTGTTCTGCAAGTCAAAGATATCAATTCTAACAAGTACCACATATATAGGGACCATGCTTTGAGATAAGAAAGAAAGAAAGACTTGTGCCGTTCATCTTTGCCGTAACTTCTTTTGAGATGTGGGTATAAACTTAATGAGTTTTACTATGATCTTGGCTATGAGGCGTCTTCGCATCGCCCATTCATCTTCTAAACGCCTATATAGAACTGCATAGCTGTTTGGTTATTCGAAAATATCGTCATTTCACGATTTTTACATAACTCGAACGTCGGACACGTCATAAAGATGGTGGCATCCGATGTTCGTTGAAAACCGAATAAACTTTTCTCATTACTTCATATACATATATATATATATATATATATATATATATATATACTTCATATATATATTTTTCTTTTTCATTTAGCCACAATTCAGCTGATGTGCATCCTACGCTAGTATTAGTTATTGTTGTTTTTGTCTTATACTGAACTCATGCATATATTAAGTGAGGTTTCCTTTCTTTCTTTCTTTTGTTGCATAGCATCCGATCAATTAATGCATTTGAAGCCAGAACGTGTATGCCAACGCCCTTCGATTTTTATTTCTCTTCTTCTAGTCTTTGCTCCCGTATATGGTAACTCTTTGGGAAAAAGAATGCATTTGCAAGCAAATAGTAACTATAACAATATATATATATATATATATATATGTATATATATACGTGGGTGCAGTAATCAATAAATGTAAACGACTTTTAAGAAAGCATTTTACAAAAATATGATAAGTAGGAGTTAACAAAGTATTTCCGTTATCTGTTTTAAACATTTCTAATTAGATTTGTTTTTTTTTTAATAACATAAAAAGAAATTAAAGAAAATTGAATAAAATTAATAATAGATACAAATTTATTTCATTGCCAATAAAACCTGGCTGCGTCTAATTCAAAAGCTGAATGCTTGCTTGCTTTCAAAATTCTTATGGAACATTGCACACACACGCGTTACGTGTTTGTGCAATTCTTGTAAAATAATTTCTTATTAGAATATTATTTATTCAATTTTCTTCTTTTCGTTTCCATTTGTCAAAATTTTAACCATAGAACTGGAGTGGAACTTTACTTACTAATGCATTTCGTAATTGAAATTCATGTCTAATCAACAATTGAAGCCTGAGAAGACCATGTTATCTTTTCATAAATATAAAGTCCTTGACCTATATATCCTTTTTTTCTTATTCATCCAAAGCTTATTATTTACCGGAGTCAACGCTTACGTTATTTCTTCCGGAAATAGTCTTTTTCAATCAGATCAAGAAAGGTGTTCGCGACGATTTTAATAAAAATTCAACTGCGTCTTTCTTACATCCTAAATAAACTTTATTACTGAAGTAAATTTACGCCGTTTTAATCGATAATTTTCTCCTATTTCTCCGATGAGATGATTCTATCATCAATGTTGAAGTTTTGTAATTTCTCAGCTAAAAACCGAATCAAGAAGCGTTCACTGGTATCGTTTTGAGGAGTTCAGCGGATTGAAGTAAACGGTAATGCGGGCTGTACAGTGGACGCATCCAATTTTCACACCTAATCCCTCTTAACATTTATTGAATCATTAAAGATATTTGTTGTGTGACAGTGTCATGATAAAAGATGACTCTTTTCCTATTGGTCAGTTCACTAAGCTCTTCAACGGCATTAGCTATTCGCAGCATGGAGTTGAATCGTCTCACGACGTACGATTTCCTTCTAGCACCACCGGACACAGAACATTACTGCACATAACGTTTCACTTAAAGCGCAATCTTTCCCGGATTTTATTGTCGTACGCTATTCACTTGTTATCGCTGTCAGTCTGTCAAAAAATGACTCAATCAAAATTAGTGATTCGTAGGCGAAAATTCGATCCATTTAATGCGGCTGCGGATTTAGTATTGAAATGGCATGCACAGCAATTTGAAAACGAAAAAAACACTACGAGCTTACTCGTAGTTGACATCAAGAAATAAAAATTTTGTTGCCACATGCAGCTTACAAGGTGTCTAAGCTTGTAGCACAAAAAGTGCGACATATCTCGTAGTTAATATTGAACGGGTTAATCAGTTCGTCAAAGGGTTTATTGCAAAATTAATATGATACGCTAGGAAGCAAGGATCCTTTAAATACTATTCGATTGAGTATTAATTCCTACAAACATATATATATATATATATATACTGTAAGCACTAATTACAAAGTCAGAAGGTGTAGCCTTTCATAGCATCGACACACTGTTATATATTAATCAATATTCGGATGCCGACCGAAGATAAGATGATAATTGTTTTTTACATATATTCCCAGCTTATGAAGCTTCGCTTTGAAGGCGTTCAAAAGTAAGAAAGCAATGCTACTATCCTACTATATTCTCTTGTGTAAATATACAAAAATCCCAGTAAATTTTTTTATTGTTCGGGAGCGTGTCCGAAAACTAACCTATCGGACTGATTTTGGTAATGAATTTTCCCGATTATTTTAATATCAATGTAATAACGAACTTGACAGTGACATTTCAGCTACGAGTAAGCAATGTTTTTATATTTTCACTAATCATAGATTATTTGCATCTGGTTACGAAATTGATTTGTGCAGTCAAGTTGACAAGATATATGCAAAGTTGCAGTTTTCTGTTTGAGTTTTGTCATATTGGCCGTATCTATGATTAGTTGGAGTAATCGCTATATCGATTCAGTATTTTTTGTGCTTCTTTTTTCAAAACCTTAATAACGAAAGGCAATGTATCCTTCCAATAAAACACTTAAGTAGATCAAAACTGTTGCTAGTCAACCAACTTTGAATGTGTAGGTTCTTAATAACGCTACAAGTTGACTGAAAAGCTAGTTCACTTCATATTTCGATAGTGGGCTTAAGCAGACATTTATCGAAAAGTATTCTGTCAAATTTTTATTAAAACTATCACGTTTTGAATCTTTTTTCTTACATTGCGTATGCTAAATATTTTCAAGAAAATTTATGATATATTCGATTTTTACTAAAGAACATAAGCGAGCAATTAGTTCGAATTTACTAATTCCGTTGTGTGTGTTGCAAAAATTTTGATTGTTATAGGAAATTTTTAAAAAAAGATGGCCGATGAAGCGAAAGCACCGCCAGCTGCAGAGGGAGCACCAGCCGAAGGCGGTGAAGCGGGTGCACCCCCAGCTGAACCAACTGAACCCGTTAAGCACACCTATACATTGTTCTATTTCAATGTGAAAGCATTGGCTGAGCCGTTGCGTTATCTATTCGCATACGGTGGCATTGAGTACGAGGATGTGCGTGTAACGCGCGATGAATGGCCCGCTTTAAAGCCAAGTAATTAAAATTTAAACAAAATCGATTCGATTGTAAGTTTTGTGATTGTGAATTTTTATAGCCATGCCTATGGGACAGATGCCTGTCTTGGAGGTTGACGGCAAACGTGTTCATCAAAGTATATCGATGGCCCGTTTTCTGGCTAAGGTGGTTGGCTTAGGTGGCGCAACTCCATGGGAGGATCTACAAGTCGATATTGTTGTTGATACCATTAATGATTTTCGTCTAAGTAGCGAACAATGTGTGATGTTGCATGTTTACATGTTGTTTGATTAATCTTTGCATTTTTTAATATATAGAAATTGCAGTCGTCTCCTACGAACCTGAAGATGAAATCAAGGAAAAAAAACTGGTCACCCTTAACAATGAAGTCATTCCATTCTATTTGGAGAAGCTGGAGCAAACAGTAAAAGATAACGAAGGCCATTTGGCATTGGGCAAAGTATGTTCTTCAAACTTTTATTATAAAATAAACGTAAAAGAAAATTTAATAAAATCCCTTTTTGGCTATATATATATATATATATATATATATATATATATATAAACAGTTAACATGGGCTGATGTCTACTTCGCCGGCATTTTGGACTATATGAATTATATGGTGAAACGCGATCTATTGGAAGCCTATCCGGCATTACGTGGTGTCGTAGATACCGTTAACGCAATGGATCCAATTAAAGCTTGGATTGAGAAGAGACCACAAACCGAAGTTTAAAATAAAAGACCAACCACCAAGCACTTTAATATGAACAAACATGTATACACTTCTTTGACTCACATTTAAACTTATTCATTTTTATCGAATCATATCGTACCAACAATAATCACGATTCTAATAATTATTGATTAAAACAAGATATTTTGTTCCTTTTTTTTAGTATAACAAGAAAATATCACATAAACCTAAACGATAATATATATTAACGTAAAAATAATAAAAAAATTCAAAAAATAATTCATGTTACGATTACTGTTTTCCATGCCATATGCCTGCGATCGTCTTTAAGTTACCTTTTGTTCGTGGTAAGCATGACTCTTTCTGTTTTCTTTTATGTTGATTGTAAATAGACTTTTCCTGTAACGCTCAATGTGGACCTGAGTGATAAAATAATTAAATGATTTATAAAAATTAATAATATTTAAGAGTTCGTTGAGTTGACTTTAGTTTTCTTCAACTATTTAATTTTAATATTTATTTTATGAATGAATGAATGAATTTCCAATCGCTTTATATCTAATAAACACATACGTATACATACATATTTACTAAATTTAAAAAAAAAAATCAAAGATCAAAACCTTATTGCACTAACATTGCTTGTTAATGATCTGTTTAAGAACAAATTGCCCATACATCTCCTTACAAGATTCAAGCCAGCAGCCAACTGTCGCCCATCCGATTTTCGCAATTCATACAGTCCTTGAGTGTATAAAAAAGACTCAAAAAAAATTCACCTATTTTCGAGATTATTCGAATAATATATACCCACACACCTGTTGACATCAGTACAAGTCACGCTAATGAAAATAAATCCAATAATTACATTAAAATTCAAAAATTTACATAGTTTTTCGGAACACATTTTTTCTTGTAAATTAAAAGTAATTTTAATTAAAATATGAAAAATTTGTAACACAAATATTATACGTTTTTTCACAAAAATTTTTAATGCTGAATAAAACACTCACATCCGCTTTTCTTGAAGGAGTACTCTTCAGTTTTTCAGTAAGATCGCTTTCATCTTTTCAATTCCCCATTGATCATTTATTTTGCACTCGACTCGCGCTGAGTTGCCTTCTTGAACTTAACCGTTAAGTTTTCTCCGCGCTAGGAACATTTTTCCATAGCTCAAGCTTCGAAAGAAATACAAAGAACGAACATAGAGTTTCTTAAAGAGAAGCCGTAATATATAATAAATATAGTAAAACTTTCGATATTCTCTTCACGGGCCCATAAAGTATACTTACGAATCCATAAAGTATATGACGGATATCCTTGACGATGTACATGACATGCATGATGTAGTAGTAGTAATTACATCCCCGAAAATCTCTCTAGAAGAATTGGACTTGTCTCAATTCAGTTCTCTTTATTCGTCTTAGATTAAAAGTTAAAAATCGGCAAATTTGCGTTTTATATAAGTTTATTCATTAAATAATGAGGCCGCGTATCTTATATATATATATAATTTCCTTTAAACGATTTAGCATTTAATTTGTTCTGTTATCATATCTTTATGCGGGCTAAGAATTTAAGCCGTCTTCAATAATGACTGTTTTATTTTCATATGATCAGCTAAATAACGAGAACATATAACGAAGAGCCGTGAGCGGCTACCTATTTTATCACTAAAGCAATATGAATTTTTTAGTGTCCTATATAATTTGATGCGATATATATCGAACCAATCAGCTCTTTCGATTTTTACCGCTTTCACGAACTTGTAAGAAATAATTGATCAACTTTAGAAAACATAGAAGAAAACTTTTTTTGGCAATGATTTCTCTTTATTTCATCGCATGTCAAAATTATATTGATACAGATTAAAATGTCATAGTCAGAGCAAATCATATTAAAAAAACACTTACGTCTTCGCCACAAAATAGCAAAGATTAACTGGCATAAAGTTGGGCCATCGCATATTTTTATCTTTGTTAAAAGGTAGGTCCGAGACTCTGCTAAGGTAAGTGATAATTGGCAATAAGTTAACAGATATATAGACAAATAATAATAATTGTCCAAAAATAAGGCAAGTTCCTACATAACAAAATGTTCAAATTAAAATATCAAAAGTAAACGATCAAGCATAGAAAACTAAAAAATCAGTTAAAAATTCTAACGTTACGCGCCTATATCTAATTGTTTTGTCTAATTTGTTTTGTACTATAGTTTGCTTCCAAGCCTCTTTGTTTGACACCCATGTCAAGGGGATCGTTAAACATTATATGCTACGTCGTAACGGTTCAAGTGTTAAACAGAGACGATCGTACGCTTTTTTGAAAAGGTTCCCCCATTTTTTGAACATAATAGCATAATATATCCGCGGACGCCACTGATAGCTATGAGTATGTTAAAAATGTGTTTGCGATTCATTTTTTTATAAATGTATGTTTTCATATAAAATTTCTGAATTTCTTTGATTTTACAATATTTTTTGTTAATAAATGTATAAAAATATATATATATATATATATATAAAAGAAATTGTTATTCTTTTTAATGGTCTCCTAATTGTTTCCGATTCTTCTTCCTTGAGTTGATCGCTTTTGCTCTTCTATCATCTCCTCCAGATGTATATATAGTGTTTTGGAAAATACGCCAACTAAACTTATTTAATTTTACAAGTTATCCGCCTGAATGGCAAGGTCTCGACTTTCAACTCATGCGTAATAATACTAATAATGCTTAATAATTTTATTGTGCAAATGTTGCTAGCGATATGTGCTATCTTATACACATAGTGTTCCTGCCAAATGTTGCTAATGAAATGTTCCATCTTATAAACATAAAGTTTTTGTTGGACATGACGTATATCTAAAACTACACATTAGGGACATTGTTTGCATTCATAGAATGTTTTGAATAAAACCGTACGGCTAGAGCGTTTGTACATGCACTTGCTTAAGAAGTTTTATTTCTAAATGTCCGTCGATATAAATTGTTTTTTTTATATTATACTTTTGTGCATTTTCCTTGAGGTATTGGATTAGGCGCTTTAGCCTTTATTTTAAATAGCAATTTCCCCCAAAATATTTCAGACCTATGTACTATTTTTCCTTCAGTATATAATTGTGAGCAACACTAGCAGTGATATACCCGATTTTTTCACTTTTTGCCAAGAGACAACTTAAAATGTAGCTTATTATCTTGTCACTCAACCATTTCTTCTATGAGTTCTAAATAATCTTTACAAGGTAATCGATGGTCTCTCCTGATATTGATAGAATATCTATAAGCTTTAAATCACTTTTTCTCCTTTTGTCGTATAGAGTCACTTTCTTTTAGAATAAGAGAAAGAAGAGTTGATCCTACCCTTGAAATTTTATTTTACGATAACTGATTTAAAGGACCTTTTGCTCGAATTCGAACTGAACTTGAAACATGAAAAATTAGTATTAAAACTTTTTCCACTTTCCGATGATCGAGGAGTAGCTTATGAAGATGTAAAACTATTTCGCTTCAAATTGAGAAAGTTACTTGTCCGTCGAGAGTGTAATTTCCTTTTTGGCCACGTCTCCACGAATCCTGAGCTACTTATATCGATGTTTTCCTGATCTATGCTTTCATCTGCACTGCCTCTCTCGGGATAGTTCGATTAGATGGCGGAATATAAAAAAAAAAACACATCCCTATTGTCGGTATTTATGTTTAGTCTAAGTGCGTCAATAAATCTATCGAATTTAATCCGGCCCATGTTATACGCAACTTTGGATATTATATCCAAATTGATAAAGCCATATTTTGGGCAAGTTTGACAATGACAATGAGGGCCCACAAATAGTGATGGAATTGCGTTTTCCATACCCCCACAATACTAACATAGATCCCGCATGTTGGTATACCGTTCAATTCATAATCACTTTCTGAATCGATCTAGGCATGTCTGTCCGTCTGATTGCTTTCCTTTCTAGCATTCCGCCTACCGGTTGCAATCATGGAAATATTTAGAGAAAATTTGAACACCGACACGAGAACCAACGCTATTGAAAATACTTCGGCTCGGAACACATTTCCACTCTTTCCACATTTCTCATATAACACTTTGTTTGGAAAGCCGTTACACTAACTGTAACTGTATTAAGCAAAATGGTGCAGGCTGTTTAATAAACAGCTGCGTTTTCCTGTTAGTAATAAAAAATGGTCTTATTTTCGTCGAAAATGGACTTTTTCACTCATAGAGAAGTCAATCAATCATATAAAAGTCAATCATTTTAAAATTCCCTCCGTAATTTCATTACAATAGATTAAATGTATTTTTATTTTTTTTATACTCATCACCGAAGGATTCATTTTGTTTGCAGCGGCCATTTAAGTATTTAAGTATGTCCTTCCGTCCGTCTGGGCAATGTGTGTTGTAAACTATCTTCTGGAAAAAATGAACCCATTGACTTCTAATTCGGCAAAAACATTGCAAGCTCGTGCACAAAGGTTGATATTGAAATTGGGGCAAATCAGTCGAAGGACATGCCTGCTGCAACACGTAAACTGAGAACACCTTTGTTTTTCAAAAGAAAGTTTTTCGCTCATTACTCAAACTATAGCAAATAAATTCACAAATAATTGAAAGCATATTCTATGGGCGATGCTGTACCATTTGTGTACCACGCCTAGCGAATATTATAGCGTATCAAAATTGAATTGTTGAGTAGAGAATTAAATGTAAAGTAATTTTACTTATCTGTCTACCACTGGTTCCTCAATTTTCTTGCTTTGTGTAAGCGTCTAAAATGATATCAAATGTAAGTCAAGTTCGTTTTATGCAAGACAATCAAACAATACGCAAAAAACATAAATTTAATGAACAAAAACAAATTTTTTACAACTTAAGAAATATTTCCTCGCAAATTGTTTTTGTTTTGGTAGTTTCGTCGCTGCCGTTGTTTGATATGCTTTGGCGTTTCTTTCTTTTCATTATTCACAAATGTGCCATTATTTGAGCATTCGTCGAGTATGTATTTAAGGTCTGCTGAACGACGCAAAGTCCCAGGATTACCAATGATAATAAGCAATGATTTGGCTCGTGATAGCATGACGTTAAGACGCTGCGCGAAAGTTATTGAGAAATGTTTTCTACAAATTAATGAATAATTTCACTCACTTTTGGTTCGTCCACAAATCCCAAGCTGGTGAACGATCTTACCAGAGAAATAATAACTATATGCTTTTCGCGTCCTTGAAATGAATTCACAGTACCGATTTCCACGTCCGTCCATTGCTTTTCTCGCAATTGTTTCTTGATGCGTTCACATTGCTGTTTATAGGGTGATATAATTGCGATATCTGTTTGCTCCACTTGGCGCCCATCAATGCCGGTGATGAGGAGACTTTCCAATAACTCCATTGACACTTGTAATTCGCGATTATTGAAACAACTTCCGGAGCGCTTGTCTTTTTCGGTACGTCCAAAAACTGCTTGGAAAATGATAGGAAAATTTGCATTCGGCAATTTATCCCACTTAGCTGCTACGTTCACATCGGCTGAGAAAAAAAATTAAGCATGAATGAAAATCATGTCTAAGTGGAATCTAACGCTTACATGGCTTAGCTTTGGCTTGTAGTTTGTTATCGTAGTACAAGTGATTGAATAATCCCAATATCTTTGGGTGACAACGATAATTTTGATTTAAACGAAACTGAAGGGTACGATCATAATTTCCCCATTCATCTAACGAGTAGCACTTCCTTTCCAGCAACCGTTCCATCAGGGATTTACTCAAGCCAAGCTCCGCAGCACGTTCAGATTTAAAAACAGGCCCTAATTGCTTGTGATCGCCCGAGAGTATTATTTCACATTTCGGTGACTTAACGTCCATTATGCCCACCAACGCTTCCGGTTCCGAACAAGCCCCAGCTTCATCGATAAAAATATGGGTAAAAAATCCTCCCGCACCAATTCCACCACTAACCAATTTACCCACTAAGCACAGTGTAGTTACAATTATACTGTACATTCGTATGTCTTCAATTGCAGGATAGTAGTGGGAGCCACCTTTACAATTGGAACGCTTTAATACTTCGGGATCAATCGCATTAACGCCATTTGCAAGTGCACTGCCTGAGAAGAGCCTTAGTAGAAGATTCGATTGGTTTCGGTAGAGAATATTGCGGTTAATATTTTTGCATATTCCTGATGCAATGGTGTCGCAAGCAGAATTTGATGAAGATGTTACAAGTATGCGTGTAGAGAGACGTCTAACATACAACTGCAAAATAGTCTCTACTACAGTTGTAGTCTTACCGGTGCCAGGAGGTCCAAATATTATGTAAGGCGCAAAGAGATTTTCATAGTTTACTATGCGATTAACTGCTTGCAATTGCTCTGGATTTTCAAATATGCTCCGATTAAACAATGACAAACTAAAAATTAATAAAACCATTATAGTCGGGGTAGGGCTATTATTGAATATTTCAAAGCACTACGCTTAATACAATTATTCATAGATTTTCGTGACAAAATACCAAAATGCCATGCTTTCTTTCCATATTAAGGCATCATTTTTATGGAAAATCTTATGTGCTCGAATCGCCAAAGACGCGAAAAACGCGTGGTTAGTCTACTAGATTTTATTGCCTCCATTGCCACAATGGGCTGCTTTTCTTGCGAAACCTTACAAAGGGTAGGATTTAAAAAATAAATAAACCCTTAGCGTGGATTCACTTTGGCTGCAAAATATTAGAAAACAGACTGTTTTGCCATATGAAACTTGTTTATCGTAAAACACTGTTTGGCAGATTACAGTTCAAATACAGGAATACATAACATGTGTAAATTGATATAGAAAATTCTTTTAAATCGATTGGTTGACCTATCTCAAGTTTCTCTCATGTTGCATGCATCTCTTGATAATGAAAATATCGTACATTTTATCTGTCGACGGATCATAGATATCATATTTGATTTGTGCTTAGAATAGAGAATCACATTAATACGGAATATGAATATACGATATTTAGCTCTGAAGAAGGTTTACAGTCGTCATCTAACGGCAAGAAGATAATCAGCTTTTTGTACCAATTTTGTGGACTTTTTAAACTAACAAGATGGGCATCAAAATTTTGTAATAAAGTTTGTGATTCTCAGGCAAAACACTATCAAAAACATTATGATTTTCTTATTCGATGTTAGCTATATGCAAAGAGCATGCAATGCTACGATATTTGTATAAATAAACTTACAAAAAGTTATACATATATTAAATCTCTATGATGTAAGAATAAATATTTTTCGAACGAGGGTAACTTACTGCGTTCTTTCGTTTCTATTTCTCGTTGGATTTTCTAACAAATTTTTACTCTTCTCAACAGGAAATAAATACTGGCGTATCGCTCTGTCTCCTGTTAATAACTCCAACGCACGATACTGATATCTTAAAGGCATGCGCATTGGTCGGATAATCAAGTTGTATTTTTCATTATCATTCACCCTTAAAAGCTTTGAATTCTGATCGAAATTAAATCGAAATCGTAAGACATCTTTGGAAATACTTGTAATTACGCCGCTGCGCCTAAATAAGTTTTCATTTCCACGGAGCTGTTCATGGAGATGAGGCAGAAGTACATCAATCTTTCCCGTAGAAACAGCACTGTATTTAGGAACAACAACCACCTCATCCATGAAAGGATCCACAATCTCATTAATATCGTTGTCAGTATTGTTGAGCTAATTGCAAAGAATCTTGAGAATATGAATGTATTTGAAAATTTTGAAACCAACCTTAACCATAAATTCTCTATTCTCCTTATCCCCGGTACTATGTATGATGACATCTTTTTGTTGCAACGCAGGATATTGCGACATGACAGTCAAATCCTCTATTTCCAATAAATAACGAAATATTATGTGTATATTCTCAGAATGCAAATAGTAGTCCTCCAAGTAGGCGCTAAATAAGTAAGGTACAACGAATAATGAAACTTTATTAAACTAGTTCATCATCATCGTCTCAAAACGGATCAATTTATTATTTAATTATAACGTCTGACATTCGCCGCAATATTTAGTGGCTACGTTCATGTTTCGGTCACTTTTGTTGATAATATTTTTCTTGTTAATATTTTACTTTGCCTTATGAATAACTAAAGTGTTTCAGTCTTTTTTCTCAATAAGTCTTAAAATACCAGATAAATATGCAAACTTCAAAGTGTCGTAATTAAGAGGCGATGCTCGACACCGACCCACGAATTTTTTGCGCATGCACATAAACAAGGATTACAAAATTTGCAAAAAAATTTCCTTAGCGGGTGAGAACCTACCTCATAACAGGGCTGCTTGTCTTCAATGATGTCACTGAAAAATTTTGATCTAGTGATGATTTCATGGCTGTGCTTGGCGGGTAAAATGACAGCGGATAGAGTACTGTAAATTTTCTGTAATGATTCACAAGAAATTAGAAATGAATATAAAAAATTACAGTGAACTTGTGTACCTTATGATTTTCTTGTCCCTGGAATTATCAGGAGGATATACAGGAGAAACCGTACGTATGTATCCCGACGAATACGGTACGGAGCGACTTGAGGTAGAAGCATTATTTCCGTAATTATAAGAAGAATTGCGTTTTGAACCAGAAAAAAACCTTCCAACTGTGGATGCAACACTCCGGATAGCTGAACTTATTGCAGATCCCATCAAAACGTGTATGACAAATGCAACAAACAACTAGGAATAAATTTGCATTCAGCTTGATTCCAATCTTTTAACGCCTATCTTTAACGATATTTAGCTGCAAGATGAAGCAATATGTAAAATACTATCTGATAATTTTTCGTAGGTAATTGTAATAATTAAAAATCGAGCATTGTTAATGGCTGGCTTTTCATTTCTATTCAAATAGCAGGCAAAATCCTAGACCAATTTGGCAGATACGCAGAGGTTTAGTAAAGAAACATTGGAAAACATTTATTTATCGGTACTTGTAGGGCCATCTTCTATTATAACCTAAAAGGGGCTATAAGAAAAGTTTATGATAAGAATTTCTATCATAACCAAACAATAATTAGAAGGGAAAATTTACGAAAAGATGTCTTTCTCCCGATGCTGTTTTTAGTGTGCAGACCGATGACATACACAACTCAAAGATGTACAGGTTTTATACGATCCCCGAAACACATTTGCAAATTTAATAAAGTGATAAAGAAAAATTTGCCAAGATCACACAACATCATGACAAGCTTGGAAAAGGTCGGGTTGTTCTTGTCCGCGCCCTCCTATCTTCTCTATATTAGCTCCTATGGTTATTGCCACCACATCAATGATTTTTTTCTTTTTTATTGCCTACATAGATATAATTTCGCATTTTTATTATAGCTGCTAAGCTACGTTAATGTTAGCGGGATCTCTGTTTTTCTTCGTTCTTCCTTTTCGTCGCGGGACTGTACACATAGCTGTAGATTTAGAAGGCAAAATTCCACAGCGTAAATATTAAGAAAAAAAAAAAGAGATATTTTTTTCTTTTATCAAATTGAAAGCCTTTCGTCGTAATTTGAATTATGAACTTTAGGAGGGAACTGCAATCTCCACGCGTTCATTGTTGTTTGCATTTCGCTCACTCAGTTTTCACTGATATTACGAACGATATTTTCAAAGCAAAGATTAAAAAAATTTCAAAAATTTTCAAATTCAATTTATATCACAAGTTATAATTACTTACTTAGGACACAAGACTCTTCTTCTTCCACTGTCGATGGATAATAGGAAATAGTGAACACATAAAATCACAGCATGTACGCGAAATATATACATATTCAGGATTTTAGTAAGGCTATAGATTAATATTTTATTTTTGATTTCATTATAATCGAACCCTTTCCTCTTTTGTATTTTTTGTATATTTCTCCGATGTCTTGCTTTTCATATACAATACGGATATGCAATGTAGACCTAAAGTTAAGGGTATTTAATATACACATAACATGGCTTCATTAATAACGGAATGTGGAACGAATGGATATTCATGCTCCTGATAAGGGTACCAATTATATATGGCGGTAGCTAGGTTTCATTTCTGATAACATGGCTTCATTAATAACGGAATGTGGAACGAATGGATATTTATGCTCGTGATAAGGATACCAATTATATATGGCGATAACTAGGTTTCATTTCTGAGTATCAAGTTTTTTGCTTTATGTATGCCCACAAAAGTTGTGACAAACGCTCCCATATATTTATCAAATCTTGTAAAAGTTGAACAGCTCAAGGCTAGCGTTAATATTGGTTGTTTAGATATGCGTTTATTACGAAAACAGCAATAAATGGAAAACAAAATAAATTCCGAATAAAATCGTTTACTTACAAACGGCTAGTTAAGGGCCCTAATTATGTATCTTTTAATTAAATAGTTCTCGTTCAAAAGGCGTACATTGAGAAACAGTTGTGTGAGAGTTATGTATGGCTTTCGTCATTCGAAATTTGTTTCGAAAAACAATCTTGACATTTGTTTACTTACAACGATAGAATTAATAACAAAATCATACTAACGTAAAAAAAAGAAAAAAAAAAAGAGAAAAATATATAAAAGTGTATACAATGGCAGACGAAGCTTTGCAATGTCATCATTGTACTTCTGTTTGATGGGATCAGTTGGGGTCACTGACATTATAATTAATGGTCAACCATTACTGTGATGTCCAGTGCAATGGTCTTGCAGGCAAGATCGCCCACTAGAATGCCTCAACAAATGCAAGTCGTAGTTTAAGCCAGTAAATCTAAAGTTTACTGCTATAATATTCATGTCGTGGGCGCAAATATTATGAATAAAATATTTATATATGTACACGCAAAATCATGTGTCTATGTAGATCGCATGCAGGCTATGCTTGCCTTTTCGGTTTATGAGACGTTGTTCATTTTATGTGAACTTATGGAAATAAGTGTGAGTTTCCTGGATGCACCCAAACACTTTAATAAATATTAGGCATATTTCAATCATTGTTTATTAAACGACAACGTACACAAGGAGTTGCTTACCACCAAGAATACGAAATTTGTTTTTTTTGAGTTTATATGCTTTTATTCTTAGTTCTGTCATTTTGTTTGTTTGTAAACAAACAAGCATTAAATTTCCCCCTTATTTTCCCCTTATTTTTTCAAATTAAATATCGAATGACGAAAGTCATGCATAATGCGAACTAAAGAGCTTTCACATTACGCCTTCTAAGTGAGAGATGATAAACAAATGAAATCAAACATTCGCAATTGATCAAATGAGTATAATTTATGAATCTCGTTAATGGATCGAAATTGACCAAATGAATACAATTTATAAATCTCGTAAGGGGATCGATTTGCTTAAACAATTTGACTCTTACTTCTCCAAATCTCAAATGTTATTTCTATAACTATGCACAGTTTACTTCTTAAGAAATAATTTAAAACAAAGCAGGTTGAAGCAGTCGATATGAATACATATACAATTGAATACCGCCCTAATGAAAAGCTATACGTCATCGCGCCATTGAGATTATGTTTTTTTAAACAATATTTTATATATTTATTTAGAAACACCGCGGGGCAGCAAACCTACCGCTGAAATCAAATATAAATGGCATTGAGTTTCAATTCTTTGATTTCTAAGTAAGATACATGTTGCTGTTATACTGCAGGAGAATCGGTGAAGTTTGTTAACCTAGTAAATATATGGGCACAAGGATGACGACTTTACTCACAGCAACACATTTTCAGTGATTCATGAAAACCTGTGTAGCTTTTCTCCGCCGCTCCGTCGACGCTGTTCATCAGGTAGGGCTTACGTTAAATTTGATACTTTGCTGTTGAACGGAAGATTTGTGGTTTGGATGATATTGTAAATGGAGAGGGTAGAAAAAGAGGAAGTTTTCTGGATAATTGTAGGAACAATACGTTTCGTAATGAGATTTTTCTCCAAGGGGGAATTAATAGGTATCCATCATTTGTTTCCTTAAAAAATTAAAAAAAAAAAATGAGATCTTGATACTTTGCAATTTTGATTGAGCTTAGTCGACCTTTTCCACTTTTGTATCGGCACTAAAGAATTACTTATGGAATATATGAGTGAATCGTTGTACGTGTTATAGTTTATATGCAAGGGGCAAAAATGCCATTCCTTTTTATGTCCATATTCATTTTATCAAAATATTTGCAACGCCCAGAAGAAAGCTTCAGAGACCCCATAAAGCATATATATTCTTGATCAGCATCGAATTCTTGATTCATTTAAGCATGTCCCTCTGTCCGTCCGCGTAGTTTCTGTTTCTGTTATGAACGTTTTCCAAAAATGAAGATATCGACTTAAAATTTGGTAGAAACATTGGAGAAGTTTTTGAAAATAGGTAAGTATTGAAAATGGACAAAATTGGTCGAAGCTGAAAATGGCAGTGGAACATAAACCGAACGCAGCTCCATTTTCTTTAAGAAAAATTTGTGAGATTTGCTGGAAATTATAGAAGTTAGAATGGGGAAATTTTCTATATTTACTTTGGGAAACTCTACTCTTTAAGTACAGAAATGGAAGAAATGGCCTATACCCACAAAAGCTTACAAGCGATTAAATTATCGTTTTTCATTTTCAACGCAAACAACAGGACAGAATATTAAAAATTATTTTGCACATTCCTCAAATAAAAATATGTTATCTGCCAAAAAATGCTTTAATTCTAAAATGAATACGATCGACACCGCGATCTAGTGGAATAATTCGTTCTTAATAATCAAATAATAGAGCAAGATTCGGCCCCTGCTGAATATAACTATCTTACTTTCTTTTTTTTTTTTTATGAACGCAGAAAAGACACATCAGAAAAAATTTTTATCTGCCGTTTGCTTTAGCGCGTTCTTTCGAGTGTTGATTGCTTCCTTTACAACATTAGTTTGAAAATTTATTCGTTGATTGATAATAGTAATAATAATAACAACAAAAAATTATATTCGGCTCTGCCGAAAATTTTTCACCGGCCGTGCTTATCTTAAAAAAAAAGGAAGAGAAACAACAACAAAGAAATAAAATTTTCATATTCTATAGTATAGAGTGGACTGAGCTGCGCTGACCTTTCCCATTTTACCACCGGTACTGTAGGACCACTTATAGAATAAAAGCAATTAGCAAAAAATGACTCATTTGGTTTTATAAGGTATTCTTACTCACTTCCAATACCAACTTATGTCCGAAAGCTTTCAATTCTTTCGATTCTTTAATTTTAATTAATTTAGATTCTTCAAATTTTCTGAATTTTTTGCCAAATGTGAAACAAATATATTAAAATTTGTGATTGGGAGAATATTTACTGCAAACATACACACAGAGGCTGCAAATCTTGAAAATAAAACAACACGTATATCGCAAACCTATCAGTTTTGTTTTGTTTTTGTTCAAAATATTATTAATGTGTTTAACTATCTCGTTTCTTCTTTTCTCTTGTTAGTGTGTTGAATGATCTTGTTTTTTTTTTTTTTCTTGTTTCTTTTTTAAAAAAAATCCGGGATTCCCCCTCGAAACATAATGCAAAAATTTGCTTTATATTTTTTTTTTTACTTTTCACTCACAATTTCTACTTTCACTATTATTTTCTCAACTATAGAAAACTATTTTGACTCGCAATAAATATTTTCTCTGGTATACTGTAATACTTACAATGTTTACAAGATCTTTAAAGCCGATAGCCCTAGATGCTAGTGCTTTAAGACTTTAGTCTTAGAATTTATTCTCTGGCTAAATTTATAATAATAATAATAATAATAATAATAATAATACAAGATCTTTAATTAAAAAATGAATGCACGAAAGTACAATTCTTTATAACTGCTTAATTAACTAACTTCTTTGAAACTAAATTAACGTTGTTATGATAATATATAGCGAACTCGCAAAAGCACAAAAAAGCTGTACTTGAAGTGCTTTTTCTGTGTTTTAGCGGAATTTGGAAATTACTTAAAAATTTTTTTAAAGAATTGAATGGCAAACGATTAAAGTTATTAATTAATTACGTTTTATTAAAAACTAAACCATAAATTCATTCAAAGTTATTTGAAAGACGGCGACTTGTAAGAAGACACTATTATCAATGTATTCAATATTGTCACTATATATTCGTTAATTCTTTAAACGCTTACAACGTTTGCGCTACGGAGAACTACCTGCAGTTCGTATTATTTGCAAAAATTAAAACGTGCTCTCAAGAATTCACCTAAATTTAATCCAGTATCGTGAGGTTAGAAAGAGAACTTTTTATATTTAATTTTAGCGCTTTAAAAAATATTTATATGAAAACCACGAATCTACAATTAATATGAAATCATGTTAAAACCAAAAAACACAAAGAGTGATAAGACATCTTCAAAATAATAGCTATTATAACAAAAATTATTACTTTATTCACCAAGGGACTTTGAAGGATAAGATTTTCGTCCAGATAAAGCAGAGCGGCTCTATAAAAAACGTGCTATCCAAAAAACAATTTGACTCCGTTTACAGTTCAAAGGCAAACTGGTTTTAGGTTTTATAAGCTTTTTTTTTAATACATTAGTTAAATATGAAGCAAAAAAACAAAAATTTGGCATTTGTTGGAAACTTTTACTGGGAAGTGCGACCAAAACACTGAAAATAAACTGCGTTTGTTGTTTCTGTTGAATACCTTATAAAATATCCTATTAAAACGAAAACAAAATTTCAAAAAAAATAATATGAGGGAAGAAGAAGCATGGAGATGGATGTCATTAATGCAGCTAAATAAAGCAAAAGAATGGCTTAATCGTTTTGGTTTGATAATTATATTTTAAATTCAAAATAATTCGTTTTTTTGCTTGTTTTTTATTTCTTAAGATTAGCGGGGACAAAATGCACATAGAACAGTTTCTAAATTTATAATAAACGATTCTCTTGTCTTCTAGTGCGTTTTTATTCACTTTTTAGCTCATTTTTTTGTGTAAATATACAAAACCATATGATTTGTCCATTTCCGCAAAGTCTCATAAAAAGCTAGTGTTTCATTTCGAAAGATGTAACATCATTGTATTGTGGTAGGCCCTTAAGCGAACGAAAAAAGCAATTCTCGTGATCAGCTGTTTTATTAAGTAGTTTTGTATCGAATAAAAAATAAAAACATTCAAACAAAAAAAAGAAGAAATTATTTAAAGTTGAAATAAAAACATTATTTTGCTTTCCATAAAATATGGATACTTCAGAAGTAGTTATAGAAGAAATCGACAGCAACGCAGTTCCGGAATCCGAATTATCAGAATTCCAAGAAACTCAACCTTTAAAAGTACTCGGTATTTATGATGATGTCGCGATAGAGATAGATGATGACGAGGAGGAGGATGAGGGCAGTATGATAAAAAAGTTTATACACGGCGAAGCAGAATTTCCGGATATTTATACTAAATTGGAGTCTGAAGAGGAGGAGGAAGAAGAAGAAGACATTGATAATGCGAACGAGACAATAAAAGAGCAGCAACAGGATATGATGCGCGATTTGTTAGAACCCAGTACAAGTGTCGGAAAGAATGCTAAAGAAGTCGAAACAGATCTTGTTATGGAAGATACTATAGGCGATCGAAAATCTCGTCTCCACTTAGGCGGTGGTCGACGTAGACCTTTTTTAAATGTTGCATTACAAGGTTTAATGGGGGAAGCAAATTTGTCTTTCGCTCGCGGTCAAACTGAAATGGCTGAAAAGATTTGTTTAGAAATTATACGTCAAGATCCTTTGGCTGCAGAGCCGTTCTTTACGTTGGCGCATATTTACGAATCCCGTGACACAGAAAAGTACCTAAATTTTTTGACTATTGCAGTGCATTTGAATCCCAGTGATCGTTTTCAGTGGATCCGCATAGCTGAAATGCATATAGCTCAAGGTAATTTACAACGAGCTCGTTTATATTACACGCGTGCTATTAAGGTGCATATGCGTGATTATGATTTACGTTTACGTAAAGCACGTCTTTTAGAAACAATGGGCGAACAAAACGCCTCGATGATTACCTATTTAAAAATGATTCGTTATTTGCCCCCGGAACGAGCCGAACTGTGTTTAGTTACTGCTAAAAACGTAGCACGACACTTTCATGCTTTAAATAAAAGTAATTTAGCGTTGGAAGCCATGCAGAACGCTTACGAAGTATGCGGTCAGAAATTTTCATTAGAAGATTTGAATTTATACATGGAGTTACTTATTCTTAACAAAGAGCATGCGAAGGTATTGCAGTGTTTAAAGGAACGTACTGATTTACGTTTGGAAAAAGATAATGAGAATAATTTAGATATGATGTGGTGCGTTATTCCAGATGATTATATACCTGATTTTAGAGCAAAATTATGTGTGACATTAGTAGCTTTAAAGGCACATCATTTGCTGGGGTATCTAATACAAAATGTTCATGAGCATATCCCTGTAGTAAATGAACGCGTTGATCTGTATATTGATATAGCTGAAGCTCTCATGCAAGAACATAAATATGCCGAAGCAATTTCTTTACTGCGGCCCATAGTAGATGGCGATTTCATAGATTGTCCACCTTTTGTTTGGCTACGTCAAGCCGAATGCCTACGCCATTTAAATCGAACTACAGAGGCTATCGAGAGCTACGCCAAAGTTGTTGAATTAGCTCCGTTTTGTTATGAGGCTAAGTTCACTTTGTCTGCGTTGCTAAAGCAGCAAGGCCGTCACGTAGAAGCTGTTAAAGCTCTGGAACAGTCCGGTGAAGGTGAAGGTCAACCGCTACATGCTCGATTGTTATATGAGCGATGTATAATGCTTCAACAATTAGGGAAAATTGATGAATTTTTAGAGGTAGGTTGCGTTCTATTGGGCCGCCAATCCATAAAGTTACGCACGCGTGAAGAAATGCTGGCAGCGGCAAATGGTGGCTCATGTTACAATGCTGAAGGTTTGAAAGTTATACTGCAAATGCGTAACATAATTGGCGATGAGGCTGAGAAAGCCCTAGAGATTCCCAAATCCTCACCAGCCGACAATTTAACTATACACGATGAATATCAATTATTTTTAGAACTTATGCGTACAGGTTTTTATCATCGTAAATTTAGTGCAATAGAGCGTGTGTGCTTCGCCGTAGTTACCACAAAACGTTTTGCAGTTTATCATACGGATCTGGTCCGTATTATTATATTGTCGTGTTATTTTAATGATGACAATGCGATTGCGTTCTCTTACTTACGAGAGCTGATACATAAAAACGTCACTCATATTCCGCAATGGAATTTATTATCATTGATGATACAGAAGGGCCAAGATTTACGATATCATCGCTACATGTCGCGTTTGATATCACGACAACCGGTCGCACGACAAATGCGTATATTTATAGCACATTATCATTTTCATTGCAGTTCCTTTAAGTACGCATTAAATGTATACGCGCCCATTTTCAAAGAATATCAACAACCTATTGTAGCCCTATGTATAGCTGTGATCTTCAATCAAATCTCATTGCAAAAAAAAATTCTACGAAAATGTGCTGCCGTGTCGCAATCTATAATGTTTGCTCACAAATATGCCAGTTTACGTCGCGTCGACGCTAGTGGGGATGACAATAATTCGGCCGCTTCTCAAGAAATAAATTACAATATTGGGCGTATTTATCATCAAGCCAATATGATGCATTTGGCTGTAGAATATTATGAGAAGGCTTTAGCTTGTCAGCATCCATTGATTGAAGAGCACTCCAAATATCTTAGCCTAAAACAAGAAATAGCTTTCAATTTGCATTTAATCTATAAATCGAATGGGAACTTGGCAAAAGCTCGTCATTACTTATATGAATATTGCGTGGTTTAAGGTAAGAAGCCATAATAATATTAAGTACATTTTCTTTCTTCCAGGACAGAACAAAAAAAAAACTAAAATAAAAATTAAATAAATAAATAAAAAATATGTTTTCTAAGTAAACTCAGGAATTGTTACATAGAATAATTTATTTTGTCAATTTTATAATACGATCAATATATTGCTAGACGCATTACTTCATTTTTTCGGTACCTATTACGCATATTTCATTTTTTAAATACAAATTACAAACAGTTTTCAAACCATTTAGTTCTTGTTACCCATAGTACGCACATTTTGAACATTATCGAATAGACTTAACAGCTCTTGCTCCTTGCGTTTAATTCGAGCTTTAATATTTGTTACCGATTCAGTTTTTGGTATCTCACGGTTCAATATTTGATCCATTGAAGTGATTATTCTGCAAATCGTAGAAAATATATACATATTTTTTTCTAAGGGACTATTTATTAATAATCAACCAATTTTACCTTACCTTTTATCTTCTTCTAGAGTATCTCTCGGTTTACGGTGTTTTCGGGTTACGTAAGATCTTTCCAAGAACTCTTTTAAATCGCTTATATGCTCTTCTTGTCGTTCAGAGTGTTGTTCGAATTTACGCTGAGTCTTTAGCAATTGTTTTGTTTTATAATCATTACGTTGTCTTTCAATTTCGATTAGTACATGTTTGCTTGCTTTCATAAATTTAACATCGCCCACCAACAACGAATAGTTGAGGATTTCAGCTTCGTTAGTTTGCGTGCTTACGTCGTCACCTCTGCTATCCAAAGCCTTATCGGCCATTTTTGGTTCTGTGGAACGCTGTGCTACGTTATTATTACGATTCCAGGTAGGGGTAACATTCTTATGGGTTGAGGTTGAAGAATTTACTTTTGGTTTTATGGGTGTTACGGTCCCTCCTATAAGGGAAGAAGGAGGAGTTGGCGGGGGAGCGACTGGTTTGCGTGCTGAAGACTTAGCGACGACTGCCGTGGGAAGAGGAGTTTTGCGTGGCGTAGACGGCTTATCACCGCCAGGAAGCTTCACATCAACCTTTAATTTAATTCTAGACTGAGTTGCAACCATTCTGCCAGAAGCAGTGGCATTATTGGCAAAAGTTGTAGACTGTGGCGTTGATTTCTTCGTCTCCGTCCCCTTGGTTTTTATCTGATTGCGGTTGTTGCTGAAACTTACACTTGGTCGTGTTGGCGATGGTGAGCTTGTTTTAGCGAGCGGCACGCGCGGGCTATTGTTGTCTCTAACAAGAATCGAACCCCTCGCATTCCTCGAATTTGGGACTGAATGTTGTTGCCTTAATTTGCTGGAAGGAGAACCTGACATTCTCGATAATTTTTTTTTTTTTTTTTCACTTTTCAGAATATTTTGCAATGTTCATAAATGTTCAATGGAAATTCCCAATTCCAAAGTTTCAGTTTTTTGCGAATAAAATTGGAATTTTTAAAAAAAGGAAATTTTTATTGCAAAAATTTAATTTTTTCTAAATATATCTTTAAAAAAAAAAAAACTGAAAACAAAAATCAATTTTTGAAAAGTATTTCTTAACCTTCTATTTATTAGAAACAAAAAACTGTAAAAACTTTTGGATAAGTTAAGCGATTTTGTTTAAATGAAGGGGTTGCATGCGTTTCTATACTTGCCACTTAAAGATCGAGGTATACTCATTTTTGTAGGAACATTTGCAACATAGGGAAGGAGCTCCTCTAATTCTATTTAAGCACGTTTATGTCTGTGATAGTGTGTGTAGCAAAAATGAAGATGTCGGCTTCAAATCTTCTGGAAACATTGGATGCTCTTGCATGCACGTTGGCGCTGAATATGGACCAAATATGCTGAAGAACACACTCATTATACCGCGTAAATTGGGAATATTTCTATTTTTAAAAGCAAAAAAATTGATTTTTTTTTCCCTTGCTACCTACAAGCTGCGGAAGCTACAACAATTTCTGCGCATACTCTGTAGGTAGTCCTACAGTAAGTATTCGTATGAATAGCGGAATAAGTATTGGGCCTACCAAGTCAATATTCGTGGTTTCAAATCTCAATGCGATAGAGTTTAGCAAGGTGTATAAATACATATAACACTTATTGATTGGTCACACATCCATTATACTATTAGGCTGCGGCCGCCGACTCTCTATTTTTTCCTTCTCTTCTTTCCTCACTTCCTTCTGAATGAGGGTCTCCAAGGGTTCGTTGCTCCTCTGTTTCTAATTTGGAAAAACATACCTAATAAATGAATGCTTTTTTTCTTGGTCCTTTATTACAAATATTCGCAAAGAACTTCTTGGATGGCAACTTTTCACCTAAGATATTTGAAGCTATTCTACACTTCAATTATGCATTGAATCTGATGTGTTCTTTAGTGTGGGATGTGTGATATTCGACAGTAGTGAATATTTACTTTCCTTCTTTGGGTAATCGAAGTGCTTTAAGTTATTCTGAGGATGCTATAAGCTCAACAACGGACAGTTATGTAATGGAGAAATCACTGTCTACGCCTTTTTTTTTTTTTGTTGAATGCAAGCAAGTGAACAGGAGCGAGTATTTCGCGAAATGTCAGCTCGATACTTTTCATATTTACTGCTCTAGAGTTGATTGATTACAATGTTGATATTCTACCGCATTGGTTATAGGAATTATTGTAATGCGCAGATCTCTGCAGTATGCGAGGATCGAAAGTTCTTTATTTGTTCAAAAATGTCGTAGGCCATACAGTTCGGCCTTAAGTTACTTTTCGAGACTACATTCATATGCCATATGTCCAGTCCTTTAATAAATGTTTGCCACTCTTTTATTAGCTATTTAGTATATATCCAACCATTTTCAAAAGGGGGAACAGTTGTTTTCAGTTATTTTCCAAAAAAGAAATTCCTTTTTTATTGGATTAATTTATGTTTTAAACCTTTTTAAAATGTATCGGAGAAAAATTCAATACCTTTAAGAAATTTTTTCCCATTAATGTTGGACTTTTCTTCACCGCAGGGTTTGGGAAGATTATTTTTGGACTTGGAAAGTCCAGTGTTAGGTGTGCTAAGAAATTAATGACAAAGAAAAGTGGGCCTATAAACAAGCTATAAGGCTTTAAACGCATTTTCCTAGAAACTCCATTTTTCAAAATGGCTTCTGACATAACTCCAACAAGTTTTGTTCTTTTCATATGAATTTTTTTACAAGATCAACGTCAAATGACGTTGTAAAGTGCAATAGACAGATTATGTGACAAATTATAAATATATAAATAATATACCAAATAATTTACTTTATACAATAAAAACAACTTAAGATTGAAATGAAAATTTATTTTTATTTTGTTTATTATACTTGTTATTCTTATTATTGTGCAAGTAATAAAATGTAAGCATTCTCACTTAGGAATCATGATCCCACATATTAAATAAAATGGACTACACAGGATGAAATTCCTTTCGCAAGAAACTAATTTTTCAATTAATAAGAAAATTTTCTATTTTTGCGTATTTTTTAAAGATCAGCCGCTTTGACTGTTTTTGGCTCAAGTGTCGGTAGCTCTAGTATTAATAGCTAAAGAACTTTATTCGTATTATAGAAAGTTCTTTTAGTTTAGAGGGCAACCAAGGTTATTTAAAATTATTAAAGCATGGAAACATCAACACTAACTAGCAAATAGAACAGTAGTAGGCTTCAACATTCGTCCATTATTTGTAATTTGGATATAACGATAACCAAACGGCTACAACAGATAAGGATGAGTAATTATAGAGTAGACTTAAAGAAAAAAAAACTATAGTCCGAGCTTGCTTGTAATCCGCAATTGACAGATTCTAAGCTAAAATATCTTCAAGCCAAGGAATGAGTGAAGATATTATTATTATTATTATTATTATTATAATTTTAGATGAATGAAATAAATTCTTATTCTAATAGAAAAAGGCATTGAGCGCTAGCAACACAGGCTATCGGCCCTAATTTATAAAAGTACCTTAGATATTGAGCTTAGTAGTTTTAATGAAGTAATATATTGTATTGATATTCCATTCTGTAATTGATTTTAGAATGTCCATAGGATTAGTCACTCCAAATGCATTAGTTCGAGCCAAGGAAAAGTTAAGGCAGTCACAGAGAATGTGCTTTGTAGTGAGCATTTGTTCACAATTGTAGATTGGGGACGAAGACTTCTTTAACATCCATTGGTGAGTTGCAATTGTGATGGCCAAAGCGAATTCTCCAAAATGTTTCGATCTTAATTTCCTTAATATGTATTAGATATAAAGGTGCAATTAATTGAGGGTTAACAGAAGAGTAGTGTTGATGATGGTATTGTAGATTTGCTTCTGTAATTTTCTCTTCAACTTTTCTTCCAATGCATCTTTGAAGATCCAAATTTTCCATGACAAGGATAGAAATAAATACGATTAGTAAATTAGGTTTCAATTACTTTTACAAATTTTTGAATGCTTCGCCGTTTATTTTCTCGCTTCATGCTTGTCTTCTCGTATACAAGTTGAGCACGTGATCTGCCACTTTACAATTCAATTGCAGACAATGTTTCCGTGCATTCATCGAATTGGTGCGAGCAAATCTCAATTTTCTTGTGAGGAATCCCGAATTCATCCTGACTTGACATCTCTTCTTGTACGAGGGAAATGAATTTTTCATATATCAATCAATCAATCAATAACATTTTAATTTTTTTTTTATATATATATATATATATATATTGTGGAAACATCTGGCTGTAGAGTAATGAGAACTATTCGCTGAAACAATACTTGCATTATGAAATAAAATTTCGTTAAATTATAAACTTTTTCTTTATTAAAAAAAAAAACTTTTTAATATTTTAAATATAATTATTTGCTAAAAAGAAAACTTTATATGCAAATTCTGTATATAAATGGTTTAGGTTTTCATTTGAATCTTCTAACCGCAGAATCTATTCCAAAGAGAGAAAAAAAAAGATCAAAAAAAGAAAAATTAGAAAACAAAAAATAAAATATTTATTATATATATACATATATATATATATATATATATATGTATAAAATAGCTGGAAATTTTTTATAACATTAAAGTTAATTAAAAACTAAATTTGGCTTAGTATGTGTGAGACATTAATGCATTTTTGTGTTAACAAAAACGTTTAAAATTGTAAAAAAGTAAAAGTAAATTTTTGTAATTTATTAATTTTTTAAACACTAAAGTTTATAAAAACGAAATTTATCTAAAAATTTTACAGTACATTTATTATTAATAAAAAAAAAATAAAAAAAAGTTTAGTTTATTGCGTGCGTTTCTTTTTTCAAATTAGTAAAACAAAAAAGCGAGAAACTGAATACCGATAAAAAAAAAAATGTTGAGAGAAAAATGTAAATTTTTTAATAAAAATAATTTCTTTCTGCAAGTTAATAATGTAATTGCATAATTACAGAATTATTTCTAGATGCATTTTGAATGTTTGTTGTTGTTGTTGTTTTTGCTTTTTTTTAAATTTACTGCATTTGTTTTTTTTAAGTCATATTTATTTTCTCAAATAGTTGTGTGTAAAGTTTTTTTTTTTTTGTTTCTTTTTCTTTTTTTTTTTAATAAAAATATATATTTTTATTTATATGCGTGGGTAAGTGGGTATCAAAAAATGAAAAAAGAAGCCAATCTATATATAATATGTTTATGATTTTATATATGTAACAATAACTAAATGTTAATATGAATGACATATTGGATGAGATAATTTTTTCTACAAAACAATACGTTTAACTCCACAATCCATACAGAATTTAGCTTGTTCCACTATGAATTTGCTGCCACATTCATGGCAGAATTTCGACATTTTCATACTTGTGCTCATCGCTGAATTTAAATTATACATCTGCGTGGAGACATTCAAAGGTGTATTGAGACCGCTATAGCTGTTATTGTTGTTCACTTCATAATTAATTAGCTCAGTTTCGGCATTGTTATTCGTCGGGTAGATTTGTTGCATTTGATAGTTGTTGTTAAAGTTTCCATTCTCCGAACTGCCACTTGACGAGGCACTAAGTGGACGAGTACGTATAGCCGAAGTTGCCGTAAGACTCATATGAGCTGTTATCGGCATTTGTACATTTGCGGATTCTTCTGCAACTGGCCTACAAACCGTTGGTACAGTTACCGGAGTTCGTGGCGGGAACATTGTATGCTTTGGACTTGTCGATTCTGACGATCTCTGACGTGACAAACTAAAAAGTTTTAACTTATTTTACATTGCACTCATTTTTATTTCAATTTGTATTTGAATTACTTTACCTGCCATAAGCTGAATCCGCACTCGCTTTGGAGCTGACGACTCTTCGAGTCGTGGGAGACGAAAGTGGATAACCATCTAAGCTGCTTAACTCGTCGGAATCTGCATAAGCATCACCACTGGGCGTGGCTGTTGCCTTATTTACTTTATTTATGCTTCTAGTTGATTTAGCAGTGGCACTGCGTGCTTCCTTTTGTTTCTTTTCTTCTTGGCCTTTTTGCGAAAGATTCTTGGCGTTATTCAATTGAACGTTGGGCAACTGACCGTCGGCTACATAGGTTTTGGAGCTGCACGCTGAATTACAATCGTGTCTAATGTCTTCATCGCTGATTTTACTAAATTTATTATCATTAGCATCCATTTCCACTTCCACTACGGTTTGTGAATTTCCTACCATATGACGCAAAGAATTTGGGGAAATCGGTGAACGATCTAAATCATTTTGTTCAGTTTCAATACTTATAAAAATCTCACGTTTTTGATTGCTTTCCAATTGCTTTGCATTTAATTCCTCGGTACTTTCTTCGCAATTCTCTTCCTCTTGCGGTGAGCAATCTTCCGTTTTGCGTCTATTATGATAGGAAAAGGATGGACTATGGAGATTATCAAAAGGAAACTGAAAATAGGTATTGGTATTCTGTTGGGATGCTAGAGAAGGGATTACTTTCCCGTTTTTGCTAATCAATGCTTCCTGCTTCTGTTTCGATTGATCTGTGCTAATGGTATTATTTAAATTGAAATTTGGTAGACGTTGTTTTTTAGATGAACGATTCATTAGAAATTCTCGGCAATCTTTAAATAACGGAAATTGTTCCTCGTCATTCTCAAACCAGGATAAAAATTCCTCAAAATCGAAATCATCGAAAGACGGTGGAAACAAAACTGATTTATTACCCATTTCCGGCTGTGCTGCGGAAAGTTCAGAACCCTTTGGATGCTCAGTTTTAAAGAAATTTTGCTCATCGTATTCAATCGATGAACGATTACCTTCATCGTCGGCTGAGAAGGAGTCAGCCTCAGGTGAAGCATCATAAAGAAATTGATTACGTCCGAAACGCATTCTTCTTTTCAATAAACTACGACCTTCAACCGAGCAACGTTGTTGATTGTGAGAAGTAAGACTTGTGGATACCAGATTAGAATTTGCATTATTAGCAATGCTATCAGCTTTGGGCAAAGGCATCAATTTAGATAGTGTTTTGCCAACAGAAGTAGCAGCTGATGCTTCCGAGGACGAAGAAGGGGATGAAAAGGTGTCATTACGTGCTTCAGAACTATCTGAGTCTAGATGTGATTTGGGCTTACTGTGATGTGTACTGTCCACATTTATGGATAGATTATCAATTCTATTGATAAGTTTCGGATCAATATAATTTCCACCCGTATCTAAAGACTTAAGTATCGGTTTGTTATCACCAAATATAGAACTTAAGGCCACCGTTTTTGTTTGATTCTCTAAAGGCAGTTTTATTTTATGTGTTAAAGGTGTTAAAGGTTTGTTCGTAATCGGTGAAGGCGATGTAATAGAAGCTTGTGTTAGTGATGTGATCTGGGATCTGTTTAAGGGATTGATAGGTTTGTGTAAAGGAGCTAAACGCACTTGCTGATATTTGCTTTGTGTTTTATTGTTTTTTGTTGCCTCATGATCAGTGGGCAGTGGTTTTTTTGACACCGCACTTGAGATTCTTGGTAGTTCACAATTTTCAATATGTTCTTTCTTTTCGGAACACTCCGCTTTAACACTTTTGGCAGAGTTCTGTTTACTCAAAGCGTTGCTTTTCTCTTTTAACTCTTTACTACTCAAAGGTGTATCTTTATTGGTTTTATCATCTGCGTTATTTAGTTTTTCCAATTCGTGTTCGTACTTGAGGAAGGCAGCCAAAGAATCGGTTTTGCTTACATATTTTATAGTCACGTCAGAGGTAGACTCCTCTTTATCTTGATGATTGGGTGAAAGATTTGAGGTGGTATTCAGTCCATTCGCAAGATTTGTATTAAATTTTAGAGGCTGTTTACGGTTTAAAGCAGTGGTGTCCCGTCTGACCACACGCGGGCTTTTATTCAAAGCAAAATCGTTGACGCATACCGAACGTACAGGCATCTCATCAAATTCTTCTGGCTTAAGAAAGTTGGTGGAAATAGGACCTTCATCTGAGAGGCCTCGCTGTATGGTGGGTCTTTGCTTTTGGGCGAACAATGGGGGCCTCGCAGATAGCAAGGGTGATCGCCGCGGACCACGCAAAGAAGATGTTCTGCGGAAACTTAATGATCTCGCGAGAACAGGTGTTTTCGGTTTTTGATGCTGCTGTTGTGACTGATGATGACTAGCATTTAATGTGTTTGTGCTGCCAAGAGTAAGGGAAGTTGTCATTTTGGTTTGTGTATTAGAATTTGTGCTGCATGGTGTTGATGTTAGTGTTGGCAATACCGGTGATGCGGGCATTGATGTGCCTTGCACTACGGCAACTGAGGGCGACAGTAACTCTTCAAGTTGGCGTTTAGCCGAAACGAAAGGATCATAGTTATCCGGTAATCCGCTGAAAGAAAAGAAGATCAAGTTTTGTGTCCAAGTTACCCTAAGAACTTGCGATACTTATGTTCGAACTTGACGAGTCTACCTGCTTGAATTTCACAAAACTAATTTATGTGGTCTTTCAGTCTAAACCTAAAAGTAGATTTCTGAAAATACTTACCTGACTTTAAAGGAACCATCGTTCCTTAATTTCCGCGGTTCTCTCACAACTTTAATGTCTTTTCTATTCGACTGTATCGTCTCTGTATTTTCTTCATAGTTTGCTGTTTCCGTGGCACTATCTACTGCTTCTATTGCATTAGCCTTATTGTTTCGATTGGACGAATTCTTCGAATGTGCAGAAGCTGAATAGCCATATATATCGATACCTTCTGTGGCCAACGGCAAAGCTTTCATAGGCAAAGTACTGGAACTGGCGAAGCTCGTATGTTTTTTACGTTTTGGTCGGGAAATACTTAGCGATTTCATGGGACTTGTTTCTAATTTAGTTTGCATTACTAGAGTTTTCGAATGGTTTGGCGTAGGCGGTGGTGTTGATGGTAAAGATATGTTGATTGGTATCAGCGACATAGGTTTAACTGGAATCCGTGTCACACCTGGAGGTGGCGGAGGTGGAGTTGATGGTCTCAATGAAAGTCGAGGTCTGCTAGACGTCCGAGGCGTATCATTGCGTTCTTCTTCTTTCCTGGCAACTTTCAGCGCTTTTCCCCTGGCAGGTGAACGAGAGGACCGATTCAAGTTTCGCCAATCTGGTGGCGAACAGTTTTTGAAATTCGGTATCAAGGAACGTATTTCTTCAGTACTGTTAGCACATTCCAAACTCGTCCTTGATTGTTTAGCGCTATCTTCATTTATTTGCCTTGTCGGTGAATTTCTACCTATCATATTGTCGTCGTCTGTGTCACTTGGCGTATGGAAATCAGTACTAATTTTTTCCTCAAATTGATCCCCGCATATTCGGAATGTTCGGGCGGTAGGCCGTTGCTTTAATATCTTTAAGTTGTCACTTTCTACATCTGTAAAATTGTCTTGATCCTTGGCTTCTCTTTTATGAGTTGTTTTAGACGAACTACGTTTTTCTTTCTTTAGTTTTGTATATTTTTCTGGGGACTCTGTCCTTTCTTTAACATAATCCGATAGACTTTCCCCCGAAACATTTCGTTTTATAACCACGGTATGCGTCCTTGAAAGTCTGTATGGGCCGTCATTATTTGATTTCAAATTGTTATCACCGGATTCTCCTTTATGTCCTGATTTCCTTTGGGTTTTTTTGGGAGATTGACTCCGCTCGGCTGTTAGGCATTGCGGCTTTTTAGAGGATGTGCCGAGACCAGCTTCATCGTCTACGTTACTACCATAATCTTCTGGAGAGAACCACTTCTCTCGTTTACGTTGATGCGTTTTCTTGCTTGATAGGACCTCGGCGCGTTCTTCTTTCTCAGAAAAACTCTCTTTTGAATTGTGTCTTGTAATTGCACTTCTCTTACTTCTGTCTCTGTAATCAAGCCTCTCAGTGTTAGCCTTAAGCTGCACTGTGTTTTCGGACTTACGATGCAATATTCTAAAAGTTTTTAGGCACTGTTCGTTCCCAGACAAACTTCCTGCTTCAGACTCGGATGATTTTAAGAATTTCGTTACCGACTTCTTAATTAAAAACTCTTGTTCATCGTGACCGTTCGTGGACCTGTTTTTCATCTGTAACTTACTTTGTGATAATTTCGTGGATTCCGGGCTCTCATCTCTATCCGAAAAACTGCTCTTTGACTCAGATCTATTAAGTTTTTGCTTGCCAAAATGTCCCGACCCTTGCTTCCTTTTTTCGCTATTTCGCCTGTCGCTGGAATCTCTAAACAGGCTACTCTTGTCCCCATTGCGTTGCGATTTTCTTCCCGATTCATTGCATTTTTTTTTTTCTGATATGTTAGTTTTCGATTTGTTAACCTTGTCTGCTTCGCAAACTGAACGATCTTCCCTTTCAGACAAGCTATTAGCCGATTCTGATCTTTTCACACGTTTCTTCTCTGTTTTTTTGACGCCAACATCTGATGGTTCATCACATGGTTTCATTAAATGGTGACTAGAATCTTTACTATTTTTTGACAAATTTCTGGTAGCATCTTTTTCTGCATATTTGTGAAAGGAGTTTGGATTTCTTATTTTTTCTAATTCGGACGGCGCAAAACCTTCTTCTTGAGTAACGGCATTATCTCCATTTCTAAAAGTTTTAAGTTGTCGCTGCATAGCATTTGTGATTATTGGGCAAACAGCGTTGTATTCGTAATCACTAAAACTTAAATTAGATTCAGATCTCTTGACGGTTGCTGTCAAATAGTCATAAGAGTGATCAGTTTTTATGGTAAAGCTCCTATTTGATTCACTTCTTTTGACCATACTTTCCGAAAATGCATTATGTTCATTATCACTAACCTCATTTTCGGAATTGTGCGTCGACTTCGTAATAGTCGTTTTAGAGCTGTTGAAATTTTTATTAAGAAGGAATGAACCGTTCTCTTGATCGCTTGAGCCGACATCAGTATTAGCCACAGAATTCGCAGCAGTTTTCAAAGTGTTCAAACTATCATGAGCTTGCGAGCATTCTTGTTCTTCGAATATAGAAGCCGCCATTTGTCTGTATTGCGAACGTGAACTTCTAGGAGTTTTCGAGGAAGCATCAAAATTCTCTGTGCTCTCTACTTCCTTTTTGAGACTTCTTTGAGATTTTGCAGGAGATATGCTAAGTCGATCTCTTTCACTTGTTTTCTTTTTCTCAGGACTTGAGAACAATTTACGTTGAAATTTAACTGGGGATTTTGTAAGTTCTTTGTCGGAATAACATCCTCTAATATCATGTTTTTTAATCGGCGAATATATGACTCTGACGTCTTCCGCTGAGGGTAACCTGCTCAGGGCTAGCGTTGGCAGTTTCGGTATTACCCGTATTCCTTCATTTTCGTCAAGATGATTTCCAATCCGTTCATCACCGGTCATATTTTTGCTATATGTGGGTTTAATAAATGCTTTTCTTGGTGAAATTTTCAGTATATTGTCTGGAAACGGGCTTAGGTCGACATTCTCCATATCCGTTTCTTCTTCGCGATTTTGGTTTGTAGAAGTAATATTCGACTTTTCTACTGGCGGCGGCCTTAGGTATGCCAATTTTTCTATGTTATGAAAGTGCAACTTTTTCGGTGACGGTGAACGTGAACGGATTAATTCTACTTCTACGAAATCATCCTTATTAAAAAACTGCTCCATAGTCAACATCTCCTGCACTGGCGTTTCAGAGGTATTCTGAATAGTTTCATCATTCGCATCCTGTTTCTTCGGTGAAGCATAAAATGTGAGACTTGTTGCTAGATTTAGATTAGTTTCCGGGGAGCTACTCTCTAAAACGAGGAATAAAATGCATGTCGCTATAGTAATGAATGCATTCCAAAAGTTCAAATTGGCTGTTTTCAGTTGAACTCTTGTCGAGCAAATGCAAAGAAATACGCATGCATCGTTTCACCTTAGTATATGAAAATTCGTATCACGTCAAAACAAGACAACGGTAAGATCAACTATAAAGTTGTTATTGTTGTTTTCGAATACTGTTTTCTTTAAAACTCACGAAGGAATCAAGTAGTTGCTGTTCTTTTTCATTCTTTTTTTTTTTTTTTTTGTTTTTTTTATTTATATTTTTTTTTTTACTAAGAAAAACGGCGAATGATGTAATCATAAAACTCAAGTCTTGCGTCTTAATGAGAAAAGAAGTAATAAAATTGCAATCGGCTGTAGCGGAAACTTTTATACTCACTAACTTCGTGTTGAGGGAACTCAAAAGAAAAAAATACACAAATTTCGATACTCTATAATATCGGGTGGGCGCGGGCGACTTTTATCGCTTTTGACGATGTACTGTAGAGTCACTTATAGAATATACGAAAAAATTTTTATCTTCTACCTGCAATACGTTATGGGTCATAAGCTCGAACTCAATTTCGCTTTCGCTTGCTGCATTATAGGTCAGCTCTCTGACCCTTTCAATGCTAGCTTCGAATGTTTTCGTCAACCTTGGAGTTGATATATGAACAAACGGATATATTGCTATATCGAATCAGAATTTGGCACTTAAGCAGAGCATACACACTTTATAATAGCTATGAAGTTTCTTTTTGTATGTTGCAAGCGTTTTGACGAAATGATTATATCCCTAACGTCTCGGTGATGATTATGAAAATGAGGAAGCATAAGCAACAATTCATTGCAGTTCTATGCAGCCGTATAATCGTATTAAGCAGAGAGACATCGCTTAAGCTTCTTTCTATTCAGCTACGGAAGAATAGAACACCACTACATGTGGAGTTCATTGTCGTTACATTTGTATGCACGTTTGCTATCATAAAGTAACATCGCATGACTTTTTGGAGCTAAATTGAAATATTGCTTCACTGATAAAAAAAAAAACAAAAAACTATTCTATATCTGTACATCCGTCAGACTCTCATTTTTGATGCTTTTCTCAGAGATTATCATATTCATCGGAAGATGTATTACCTTCCAGTGTATATCACCTTATGTGCAGATCGTATAATGTAGGATTTTTAAACACGATACGTAGGTTTAGGAAGTCGGGAAGTATTTCGGAAGCCCATTATCAAAACTCTTTTAATGAAAATCTTATTTATCGCCTATCCAAGGAAACACAAAACCCGTCACTACTTTTTATGCTATTCTGAAAACATTTTCTTTCTTTTTTTTTTGCAGTTGGCTTTTACGGTTGGATCTAGGGTTTTAACAAACTACCACGCCAGAAGCTTACACGTTGAAGCTTCTATTTGTGGTACATGAAATAATTCAAACCGATGGATAAAAGATTTATTATTAAACATGTTCACATCGACCTAACGTTCTTATGCTGTTATGACGTGCAAGAGAAGGGCAGCTACGCTTGCGACTGTTGCTGCTGCGAGACAGAAGAGTCATACTCAGTAGCTATGCATCCCAGTTGAAACAAATTGAATGCCTTGCAGACCGTTAAATCAAAAAAGATGGCAAAACATGCCAACCTACTCGCAAAAGATTTAAATTATTGTACGTAAAGTTCGACGAGGGATGTCTATGAGCCTTATGAGCTCTTTAATGCAGATATTAATCCCATTTATTTTCAACAAAACGGATAAGATCTCCTTAATTCAATTAAATTTCTTTAGGGCGTAGAGATAAAAAGCTAGGCTTTGCCATCTGCTTTGCCTAGTTTGGCCATATTACCTCAAGAGTTTAAAGTAATAAATGTCAAACCTAAAACGAGCACCGCTCCTAAATCGAAGAAAACAAGAAAGAACTTCTAAGTGACATATCAAATTAAGGCAAACAGTTCATGTCTTGAAACTCTTTCATTAGGAGCAGCAATGGCTGGTTGCTTTTGGCAAAGGGCGAGAGTTCAATTTATAGTCTATTCATAGTCCAGTGTAATAAGCGACATATATTTTAGAGAATACCTGGCTCCTTTTTCGGGTCAGCGTGCTCGTCGCAGCTAAAATCATCTTTAAAGTGAATCTGTCGCATGGACTTCAATGATAGACTGCTAGGACTTTTCTGGTCGGCCATCGCCGACGGCAAGCTCTTAACAATATTTTCAATTTCCGTTTTCTCATTTTCACATTTCGCCGATATCTGTTTCGATTTTAACGCGGAAGCAATTGGCAATATTGCTGTTGATAACGGCGTTGCTATTGCTCTATTATTTGATTTATTATTAGTTTTCGACGTTTTATTTCTCGCTGTCATTAATTTTTTATTTTGTTCTTTCATATAATGAAAGTCGGGCATCGCAACTTCGAATTTTGCTATTGGTTCGACATCTTCTTCGACTTTCACTTGCTGCCTTGGTCGTGGAGTTTGACATTTTTCACGAGAACTTTTACGCGCACGATTTGTGGCCGTTTCAAAACTATTTCCTTGAGGATTTTGATGTTTTCTGTTGAAAATGTTGATCGAACGATTATAATTCATTATGGAGTTATGAAGTTAAAAAGGAACAAAAAAGAAATACACACACATAATATCTATATGTCGATATAGACATTAAAATACTTTGACATTCAAATGAAAAAATTGAAAAAAATAAAAAATAACACTTTGTTGTTTATTGTAGGGCATGTTGTTTGCTCATTTTTTTTTTTTTTTTTTTTTTTTTTGAATGTGTACGTCGATGTGTATACGAAAATAAGCAAAAAAATCAATATGTTTACAGCAAAGTGAATTCTGTAACTATTACAAAACTACTATACATATCAAGTATCGCAAGCGGTCCTGTAGACTTTGAAAAATTATTGCTTTCAATATTCAGGATTGTTCTTAACTTACCTTTCACTGGCCACCGATGAAGACATGGATTTTGATGTTAGGTTCTCGTTATTAGTGGGGCTGCTATTATTTGTTTCGCTTATAAGATTTTGTGAATTGTTTGACTTTGGACTTTCCAGATTGTACTCTTCGTCGGCCAGCCCCGCATATTTTTCACGATTAATCGAACGTTTAGTTCTTTAAAAATGAGAAACAAAAAAAAAAAAACAAGAGACTGCAATTGTGATATGAAAGCAAAAGGCCCTTGATTGATTACCTTAAATAAGGAGCACGGTATTTAGTGCGCGCTTCTAATCTAGCCTTAGCCGCGCTTTCTTCAGCTTTCGAATTAACATGCTTGATGGAGGCTAGCAGAGATTTTTCCTTGCACCATTCCACGTGGCGATCGTAGGCCTTGACGCCGAAGCTACGTTCACAGTGAGGACATTGCTCAGCTGGCGGAGGATGCGGACCACGTCGCGTTAAAGAACGATCTGAAGAACGCACACGCTGTCCGCGATTTAAAGTGCCAAGAGACGGTGCTGGAGCAACTGTTGCCGGATTAGCTGCATCCGTTACAGTTGCTACGGCAGCGGGTGCCGACGCTGTTGGCACTGCTTTACGCGCGGCCGGCCTAGCGGTCGAACGTGTCTGCTCTTCGGTCGCTTTTTTTCGCTGTAATACCGGTGATGCAACCTAGAAAATATTTTCATTGCTTACATTTACTTCTCTTGCACTTTTAAATTCCATTTTTTTTTTGCTTTTTTTTTTTTTTTTTACCTGAGCCACACATGGTGATTGACTTCGTTCCGTTTTTGTAGCAGCAACGACAGATGTTGTCGAAGTGGTTGGCTTTTCCGGTAAGCCAAAGTTCTTTGGTAAATACGAAGCCAATTCGGTTCCCTCACGCCTCTGACGAGACGAATCGAAAACCTTGCGTTTCTTCGCAGCCATTTTTTCGCATATGCCCACATGCTTCCTAAGTATCAATGTATTGAAAGTACGCGTACAGATTGGGCATGGTGCCAGCGAAGTGCTGGCTAATGACTCTGGTTCCTCCGTTGGTGTTGTAATCTCGTTGCTATTATCTATAAAAAATATATACAAATTTATTAGAGAAAATCGTAGCTTAATGTATGTTCCTTTCAATAAAAACTTGGTTTTGTCAAAGAATTTTTTTATATATTCTTTCATTAATTTTCAATAATGCTTCGAAAGTGTATTTTTTTTTTTTTTTGGTTTTTTTTTTTGAGAAAAAGGGTTTACCGCAATCGTTACTTTTCAGTCAATTTAACTTATTTAGTTTACCAAGTTAGTTCTAAACAATTTAAGTATATTGAACACTTCACATTAAACTTAAAATAATTACGTAAAGAAAAGAAAAAATTTTCTTATATTAAAGGTCGTAGTCATTTTCGAATACCTTTTAATTTAGAGGACACATTAAAGATACTTTTATTTATAGCTAAGCGAGATATCAATAAACTTCTTATGTATCTGAGGAAAGGAGTCGTAATTCATTGTCTATAGGCCGGGAACTTTAACGCGTGTAAATTTTCAAATAAAAAAATAAGAAAAAATTTAATTATCTTATAAATAGGTGGCGTGCTTGTTTAATAACTTGGGCTTTATGCTGATTTGCGATGCCGATCAATACATACCTTACACCACTTTGCCTAGCATAGTTACTCGCTCTTTTCAAAGAGCAAAGTCATAATTTTCATGAAAGCCCGCATAATTGGAAGGTCAGATTTTCTCTTCATATGAGAGCTTGTGTTTCGTGATATCGCTTAAATAATGGGGGTCCAAAAAAGTAGACCTATGTGATTCAATTCCCCTATCGTTAATTTTTTTTGCTGAGACCTTCCTATGAATTATTAAGATATCATGAGATATCTTTTATGGAGTGGGGGAAGGATTACACCCATGTGGTTTAAATTAATTATTCTATTTAATTACGATCATGAGCAAATTTTCATCTCAAAAAAATTTGGTTTTTTTGTTATATAAGGGTTTAAGTTTCATAAAAATCCTTTTAGACAATGATATCAACAAAATAGACCTGCGTAGTCCAAATTCGTTCTTCTCAGTTTTTTTTGCCAATTTACTATTATGAAATATTGTAAAATTGACCTAGCTTTTACCAAATAAAGCTTTAATTTCCGTAGGTACCTTTATATGAGAAGGATTTCAATAACTTGCCCCAGTTGATCCAAAGTTTTCACACCAATTAGAATGCCGAAAGACTACTACTTAGTCACTTTTACCGAGAAATTTTGAAAATTACAAGTTTTTTCCATATAAACACTTTTTAAAATAGGGCGTTATATGTGTGGAGTGGGCAGAAAAGTGGACCGCTCCGAACCATTTTCAATAGCATTTGATCTTCAGCCAGTGTACATCAGTGTATCAAATTTCATCAAAATATCTCAAAAATTGTGACCTGCACCTTGAACACAAAAATACATAGACAAACATCAGACGGACGGACAGACAAACAGACAGGCTTAGATAAAGTTAGAAAATTATTTCGATTCGAAGCCAAAAAGATTCATTGTCTATTTATGGAGCACCGGAATATCATCAAACATCTTCCATAGTCAACGCATTCGCGTGGGGAGTTTTAGAACGGGCGGTCACTGAAGCACAGGAATGAAATAACATTGCACTGGAAACTATTCAGTATTGCAGGCGTTCTGTAAGCAACTAACTGTTCGCCCAACACCTTATTAATAAGTAAATATTTTGTACATAATAGGTGTTCATATTAAATTGTCCATAACACTGTTTGTAAACCCATATATATATATATATATATATATACATATATATATATAAATATATATTATATATATATGTATACATATATATTTTATATATGTATTTATATTTTAAATCCTAATGCTTAGCGTTATACATGGATTGTATATATAATTTATGTACATATGTATGTATATCTCGCGAGACCGGCTGTGAAAAAATGCATTTAATATACATTTTTATAAAAGTTATTTGCATACATGTATATAGAAAAAAATATTTTCTTGTGACATGCAACAACATCTTTCAAACACGACCATCTCAATTATTGTCATGCAGTACAAATATAATTATGAGAGACTCTGGAAAGAATTGAGAGCAAATGTATTAAGAAATTTTTGACTATTATTAACATAGTTAGTACGTCACCCCTGCCTAGTCCTATCGAACTAACTTGTAATATCTGACACGAAAGTTTGTTGTTATGCTTTAATTGGATCATTGTAAGTGAGCTGATAAAACTACAGTTCTTTTCACGCATATTTGTCGTTCGAAAGATTTTACTAAATAAACTTGAACACCTCACAGCTAACGGGGTTTCTGTTGGATATTCTTTGGCGGCAATGGAAGTTTTCGATTAGATATATATATATGTGGATCGAAGAAAGCACCGAACTTTCTTTACAGGTATTTATGTGTTTTTTAATAAAAAAATTAAATTTATATTAATCGTTTGTTGTTGCAGTTGTTGTTGGTTATTTTAATTAATGCCTTTGATTTACTTAAAGCATTTAGACAATAATAAAGTTTGTTACATTTTTATAAAGATAGCTTAGTTATTTATTTGTTTTAAATGCACATTCATTCATTTACTTTCCTTATCATTAAATCTATTTATCTTTCCCTATATTTACGGTTCATTAAACTTGCTTCTCTGCCCCAACTTTTATTGCAATTGTAATTGTTGTCGTTATTTAGCAAAGATTTACTATTTAATTAAAGTCAATTTCAGGAAACGCTAAGCTAAGGGCAATAGAGCCCTTTTATTTGAAAATGATATAAGTCTATCTTCTTCTATACGTTGATGTATTTATTATTTGAAGGCTGGAAGAGAATTCTCACCTAACTCGGGTTATATATAAAATTTGCTGAAATAATCAAAGAGCTATTAAAGTACAAAGTGATTCCTTTTAAAAAGCAGAGATGTTTTCTGCTTGCTTACTAGTGTAGTTGTGTCGTTTAACCGATTTGGTCCATTTTCAATACCAACCTCGTTGGAAGAACTTCCAAAGTTTCTACCAAGTTTGAAGTCAATAGCTTCATTTTTGCCAGAAGAATGCTTATAAGAGACATTATACGGACGGATGGACAAACATTCTTGAATCAATTTAGAATTTGCTATCGTACTGAGCTTCTCAAGCTTCCTCCAGCGCTTTGTAGACGTTTTCACAAAGCGAATATACCCCTCCTCCTTCGACGAGGGGCGTAAAAATTATAAAAAAAAGCATTTGTGCATGTTATTAATAGTAGCTTTAAAAAACGCCGCCTTTGACGAAAGTCGATTGACGAAAATTTTTCGGAAGACTTCTTCTTCTTACTTAATTCAGTTTACTAAGCAAAGGAGAGGCGAAGAAATGTTTTAGCATTTTCGCATTGCCGGTATTCCCTTTGTCTAATGTTGTATTTTAATAGAAAAAAGTGATAATCCGTACAGTTTAGAACGAACAAAAGGGTAAATTTTAATTGCGTTAGTTTGATTCAGTGACCGGAAACCGAATAATTTTTATAGCAAACTTATTAGCAGACCGTTTACCTTTTAACTAGAAGCACTTGGGCCAAATTGCCTATTTTGCGGTTGAAAGTATTTCAACAATAAATGTCAATAGACAGATTAGTACAAGAACATATGCACATTATAGAGTTCTTACTATGAAAACGAAAGATAAACTTAGTATTTCTTCGTCCGTCGGCGATGGATGCAAAATTGTTTGGATGTTTACATTAATCCCTTTTAAATAAATTACTTTTCTCTTGTTTCTCATGTTTCTCATTTTCAACATTTCTTGCGTAAATTTCGCAAAGTTTTTAACACTTGGATAACAAAATTTGCATGTCATTCCTCTCCTCTTTATGTTCATTTAAGTATAATGCCGAAGGATGAGACGTATAATCATTTTGTCAAAACGTTTGCAACGCCCAGAAGCAAGCATCAGTGACCACACACAGTATATACATTCTTGATCAAGATCAAATTCTAAATCGCTTTAAACATGTCCGTCTGTCCGTCTGTGGTAAACATTCTGCTATTCGCAAAAATGAAGTTATCCACTTCAAATTTGCTAAAACTATTGGACGTTCTTGCACGCTGGTTGGTGTTGAGAATGGGACAAATGGGTCGAAGAACACGCTCCCGGCACGACGTAAACTGAGAACACCTCTGTTTTTCGAAAGGCGAAACAAATGAATTTTTTGCTCATTACTTATAACTCTATAGCAGACAAATGTACAAAAATTTGAGCGCATATACTATAGACGAGTCTGTAGCATCTTTACAAAAATATGAAAAATCGACCACGCCCACTTAATGTTATAGTGTATCGAAATTTAAATTTTTCTTCAATACCTATATAAGGAGCAGAAGCAATCTTCAACAACCTTATAACCTATATAAAGTGTGGGACAGTTTCAAATTTGGAATGCACCTAAACACGCCCGTTTGTTCGTTTGTCCATCTGTCTGCCTATGCAACGTTGCAGGGTATAGCCTACAAAGTTGCAAAAGAATTTGGAAGTGACGTAAACTTTTTCAAGGACGCGCCTGCATCGCCCGCACGCCTATGCGACGAAAACGTTTATTTTGAAAATAGAAGGAATCATCTGCACCCACTCCACATTATAGAACATGAAAATTTTGTTCTTTTACTTCTTTTGTCTTTTTCAGGATAACGGTGTTCGGTACAAAAGATTCGGCGACGACCGAACATAGTTATCTTATTTGGTTTGATGTTAAAGAAGCATCTGTGCTTCAGTTGTTGTACGGCTACCCATTGTTTTGAAATGTGATTGTTCGAAATTTTTCAAAGGTATTAAAATTTGGAAATGTTCTCAACAATAATGAAATCAAAATAAATAAAAGCATTCTAATCGCACAAGGCCAACCATTAAATACCGCACAGCATATCGCCTAATACAGTTGTTTATTTATTTTTGTAGCAATTACGCTTTGTTCCCTTCCATTCAAAGGCGTCCATTTTATGGGAGCCTTCTATTAAATGGCCATCAATGTGAGGGATTTAATATCCTTATCATCTTATCATCTTCTCTATTTTGGTCTAATTTAGACTTCGCAAACGCTAAGTTTTCGAGGGAACCCTTATACATGGAATGAGGTTCAGTCAATGGATCTATATGGACAAAATTTTCTATGGTTAATTTTTATAATAAATTATTCTTATGTAGTCATCTTCATCGCAAATCGATACGTAATCAAGGCATTTTTCAAAACACTGGCAACGAGCGACGATAGGCAGGTCATATACAATGATGATGTGGAGAAAAGTCCGTCATTCAAGACGTATGAAACTTAACAAGCGATGGCTTAATCCCAAGAGACGCCACGTAAGGTAATGCGTTATGTTTGGTGGGATTGTAAGGGAAACATACATTATTGGTCGATCCAATGTGGCCACTTCTCCTCTCTACTGTCATCGACTAATACGATTAAAGTGTCCGATGATGGCTAGCAACAAAAATTGATCAAACCATATACGTTCATAATGCTTCGGTAAAAATTACGAAAGTTTGGCTGGGAGACGACTTCCCTCGTCTTGCTACGCAACATTGTAACTTATTTCGCCCTCGATGAAAGACAAAAATGGTTTATGGTAGTTATGCGTCCAGAAATCTCGGGACTTTTAACCTGACAGTCTAATGATTTTACTGAGGAAGTAGCAAAGGGTTATCCGATCAAAGGGCCACATATTTGCTTTAATAAAGTTCAGTTAAGATATAAAAAAAATGTGTATGAATTTTGGCGGAAAACTGCCAAGAAGATCTTTCTTTACCTAATATGTATCCATATCTATATGTAGATGTGATCTCTTTGCAAGAAACGTCAATTTGCAGTATTCTTAGATAACATAAATATTTTAGAAGAGTTGCTTAGTCAAATTTTAAGAATTTGTTGATTCTTAGCAATCGTGGAACGCTTGATTAAGACCTCGTCTCAAGCGAGCGTCTTTCGAGAGCGAGAATCATTTTGAGTATCAAATTTATTGCAACGAACGGTGAGTTATAATTACATATCATACAAACAGATGGATTTGATCAACTCAGCCCCCATTTACGCTGTTTAAGAATGCTCGTCACGCGTGACGCATGTTCGAGCGGAGAGGCCACATTATAAGCGAACTCTGTTAACAGCTTTCGCTAGAAATTATGAATATTTTTTATTATATGATAAAACGATATAACAGAATGGCCCCAAATATTAGTCACCCCATCCTTTGATTATTTTTACATGTTATGTTTCGTATATAGATGATGATGATAATGATGATGATGATGATGATGATGATGAAACATCTGAGTTTCGTTGTAATTTGAGCATAATTTCCTCACATGTCTTTTTCTTTTACATTTTTTCATTTCTAATTTGAAAATGTTAAAAAGACTATATATTTTTCTTTTAACAATCTCCTATGCACAGTATGACTCATCAAGTTTTTCATCAAAACAAAAAAAAAGAAGAAAAACTTAGAGAATAAAATTTAGATGAACGTTGACTACACATGTATATGCTAACGAATGGTCAATGATCTGCAGTTGTGTAAATCTTGAGATTTTCAATTTACATTTAGATGCTTATTTTTTTTTTTGTTTTTTTTTTTTTAGCACACATGGAAGCAATGAATGGATGCCTTTGTTCGGTGAACGTTTACTTGAAAATCAATTAGAATATAGAGGAAATGCAGTTTCGCCATAATTAGCTTTTAACAGATTAATTGAGTTTATTTATAAGACGCTCAGATTATGCAGTGATTATGAGTATGTTATGCTAAAGAGAACTCTTGCAAAGCAGGCGGCCAGCTTGGAGATAATAATAAAGCCATCGACTACGCAAAAATATTTCTATGAGACTTTGCTGTTTGGATTATGATTTGTGAAAAAAAAAGACTCGAAAATTAAAAAAAAAAAAAACAAGAACAAGAACGCTGCAGTGAGACAAGGCACACTATTAAATACCCTATGGCACCCTAAAGTTATTTATGTAACGACTTTTCAAAATGAACCGTTATATGGGAAGTGATCGAAAAAGTGATCTGATCCGAACCGTTTTTAATAGCGTTCGCCCTTGTGCGAAAACACTGTTCCAAAGAGTGTCAAATTTCAACAAAATAACTCCAGCTTGCAGCTTATATATTAAACTCGAGACGATAACGGACAGACAAGCGAACACACCAGCATAAATTTATTCAAGAAGTGATTCTGATGAAATCGATATCGATCTACATCCGCAATACGATCAGTATAATAAGATATCGATCTGTCTCAAGTTCTTCTGGGTGCTGCACACATCTGCACAAACTAAATACGCCTTTGTACCGCAAGTGGTGTAGGATATAAAAATTTACATTTTTGTATAAATTGCGGGACATAAGTAAATTCCTTCGAAAGGGGTCCCATTTCATGCGATAGCATTATGGCAACGTTCAACCGAGGTATGTTTTATTGTGATTGCTTCGGGATATTTTCTCAAATCTGACTGTTCGGTTAGTCTGCCTTTGCGCTGCGTTTGCCTTTTAGGAGCAGAAAAATGTGCATTAAATATGACTTTTGTTTGTTGATATTAATAGACTTAAGCGCTTTGTGTTTTCTTTTTGCGCGTTTTAAAAAAATGCGAAGTCATTCGCAAAAAGACACAGTGGATTTCCCGCTACCAAGTTTAATTCAAAATATCGCGACTGGGCCTTTGAAATAATCCCAGCAGTGTAGGCAGTTTTTGTAGGTAAATTAATCTACGGGCGTGTCGGCCTCGCTCACAGGTGCGGCCTTTAATAAGATCGATTAACTGCGAGTGGCGCTTCCTCACTGTACACGGTCGCTTTTCCAATTCGTGTGTCTAATGCCTTTCTGATCTTTCTAAATCTTCATACGCTTCGCCTACACTTGGGCAAAAGTATATTAAGTTTGCATGGATGTATGCACCATCCAGAAGAAATTGAAACAGATCGAATCGGAACCATTTTCGGCGTCAATTTAAGTTTGTCTGTCCTTTCTCTGTCCTGTCCATGTGTTACTGTGATTAACGCAGTGATTTGAAGAAATTTTGTATACTGAAATGTCTTGACCCAAGGGCAGGGCTTACCGACCATGGATTGCATCGGACCATTTTTATAATCCCTCCATGCATAAGAAAAACATTTCCAGAAAATTTTCCAATTTTTTTACATTTTTCGACCGAAAGCATTAAAATGCTATATATTGGTATTTTTTGAGTCCCGTTCCATTTAGAAGTTTTTACAAAAAGTGATAACAAAGTTTGATTTCTGATACTTTGTGATGAAAGTTGATCTAGAATAGTGACTTGATACATAAAATTTGTTATGCTAAACGAGCCTCACATTCGTCTATTTATTGGATCTCTTTACTTATAATGGTTCTCTTGAAAAGTAAGCTTCTCTATGGCCTCAACGGCTAACCTCTGATATTTTCACGAAAATAATTTAAGAATGGTATTCAAGGGAATGGTGGAGGGTACTTTACGACCATGAGGCCTCCGTCGACTATGATCCTTTAGCTCGTTTTCTTTCTGCATTTATATAATCGACTTGAAAACGTAATTAATTTTGGAGACAATAAGGCGGAAAGGGAATCGGCTAAGCAATTAAGTCGCGTCTTTGAAGAATTGATTTCTGATATTTTTTAAGCATAATAAATTTTGTGTTTTCCTTTCCTTTCCTTTTTTTTTCAAATGAATTTTGTATGCTTAACATTTCATGCTTAGGCGCATTAAAAGGCAAGCCTCTTAGTTAAGCAGACTTTTTTAATTAGTATTTATATTTAAGAATTTCTTCATATTAAAATATTTTAACCATCGTTTCTGATTGTAATAAAATTAAATTACATTTTATTGTTGCTGCATGCAAATCAGTGTGTTTAGTGGTTATGGTAGTAAGAGCAATTGATGCAAGTGAATTGTACATAACATCATCGTTGGTAAACGGTAATTGTTGCGGTTGTTGTAAAACCGTAGGACGATAATGATCGTTTACGCTCAATTGCGCATGATCAACCGTTTGTGCTGTTAAAATACCATCGCTAGCATAATGATTATTATTATTATTAACAAGAGTAACATTATTATTATTATTATTATTGCTTTTGTTGTTGTTATTATTGTTGTAATTGTTGTTATTCGTCACTGTTATAGAAGAAGCAACATCAATTTTATAAACAACAACAATTGCTATTTGCTTTAAGCATGAACGCAGGCATGTTGTAAACAACGATGATGATTGCGTTGCTGATGATGCTGTTGTAGATGATTGTGTAGTTAATGAGCCCATTGGTGTACTTTTAAATCTATGGTTAGTTGTTGTTTCAAATACATGATCTAATGTTTGTGGTCACTCACTCGCTTTAAAATCGTTCAAGTTTTCCACTTGACCGCTCGGCGTTGCATAGTTAAGTTTCGAGCAATCTTCTAAATCTTTTGCTGTATCCTGTTGCAAAAGCTTACTGCTTAGCGTATTAACGACTTTAGAGAATGTAGATTTTTGCTTATTACCTATGCTTAAAGAGATCTTTTCATTCTCTATATTTGCCTTTGAGATCCCATCGAATGATGCATTTAATTGTTGATATTCTTCGTAAATACTTTTTCGCTTATTTAGCTTAGTTGAGCTCGCTAAACTTTTCGAATTTTTACTCGATTTCGATTTAAAAATTTTATTCCACATTTTTTTACTCATTTTGAAAAGAATTTTTTTTTTTTCCTTTTTTTTTTTGTTTTAATTTAAAACATTAAATAAAATCGTGAAAACAAAAAATTTTATACACAACTATGTATATATATATATATATATATATTTATGTATAAAACATAATTTCTTCAATCCGTCGTTAATCGTATTTCAACTCAATACCACAAAGTCTGTTGTTTAACTAAATTGCAGTCTTTTTACCGCAAATAAACATACACTCTATTCCATCTCTCTCTCTCTCTCTCTCTCTCTCTCTCCCTCTCTATCTCTCTCT